TACCTTTAAAAAAAGACATTTGCATAAATATCTGCTTAGTTGCAGCATTTACAAACACTTGAAGATACTAGTTATTTTTCTTTCACGTTTACTCTCTTAAACACATTTATTTACCACCTTATTATCTTGTGTGTTTGTTTTTTTTTAATGTATTCATGGATTTTGAGTGCTTTATCATAAATCTTATATTTTAGAACTATACATTTACTATTAGTGGACTAACTGTGACTTTATAGTTTTAAGTTGGACAGAGACTTATAAGAAAATATGTGTTTACTGCCAATAGCTTTTTTTATGTTTGGAATGAGTTGACAAGTGAAGCCCATGATAATATTGTCAACTTTCTAGATATAGATGTCTGAGCTGGTGATGAACATGAAATTGAGTTGATCGTGTACAATTTCTGTGGGGAAAGATAATACTGAAGAATTTGGTAGATGGGAATTAATGACAGATTAACTGTTCTCTTGGGATCTTCTAATGTCTTAAATATATACTTCCCACTAAATGCATTCTTCAAGCAAATAATATGAGCTAACAATCAAATGATTCTAGAAAATACAGTGTTTAGGGAAATATGAATAAATATGAATAAATAGCAGGTACTATAATGATAATTTACAATGTTTAGTTATAATCTTGACGTATAAATATACCTGTATAAAAAGCTTAAATGTTTAGCTAGATCTCTGTTTACATTAAGATTAGTAGAAAGAGAAAACTTTTACTTCAGGGTAGGTTTTCCAAAGAAAATCTAGTTAGTACTTTTTCTTCATTCATTATAATAAATCATTAAAATAATTCATTATTTTGAGGATGCAAGAAGTGCATATATGCGTATGTGCGCCTCTGTATGTATGTATGCAAGTATGTACCTCCATCCATGGTTTCTCCATTTTTTTCTCTATGTATTTGGCTACATAATTTGGTTGTTCATTAGAACATGGGGAAACTTTACCCCTCCTTAAGTATAGGCAAAAATAGAGTATTATAATGAGTAAGGGGATTTTAAGCAATGTATGTACAGTAAAGCTCCATTAGACCTGCTAGTTCAACATTGAGGTCAATTTCAAACCTATGTGAGGTGAATTAATATATGAACTAACCAATTCTGCTATTAACTATGTTTGGTCAAATTATTATTATAGGAAATAGCTGAGCTGTAACTTTAACAACAAATGCTATTTAAATGATTTCTATTGACACGGTATCCTTATCTAGATATATTGTAACTTTAAGTATTTTCATTTTTTTATTTTTGTAACAGATTAAAATTTGTTTTATTCTACTGGAGCTTACACTATTAGTAGGTATTAAAAATCAATACCAAAATGAACTTCTTTTAAAGTAATGCTTACATCATTAAGGGCTATTACCTAATCTTCTCCAAAGATTATGATCTTGTGTCATTTCTGGCAACTGCCTTGTGACATAATTGACCTTATGTTACATGCATAGATATCCAGCTTCACAAAATGGATATTGTATGTTCTTGTAACTCTTGTTGTAGGAGTAGAATCTGAAATAACTGATTCTAGAAAATCCTAGGACCTCTTTCCCCCTATTGTGTATCCCTTGTAATTTACAGTGCTTTGCTTTGTATTGGATCGTAGTATAGGTGACTTACTGTTCAGGTGGCTGCTTTAGAAGAATTATCAAATTAACAAAAAGTGGCACCATTTGTAAGCTAAAAAATGTTCAATATCAATATAGATTTGGGAAACTTCAGGTGGAAATATATATTTTTTTTGGGGGGGGGGTTTGGTCATGGGGCCTGAACTTTGGGCCTGGGCGCTGTCCCTCGGCTCTACCACTTGAGCCACAGCACCACTTCCGGCTTTTTTCTTTTTGCTTATGTGGTGCTGAGGAATTAAACCCAGGGCCTCGAGCATGCAAGGCAAGCGCTCTACCACTGAGCCACCTTACCAGCCCGAAATATTTGTTTATATGTGACAGAAATAGTTCTTTAAAATGGTGAGACAAAGGAGAAAGAGTGAACCAGTGAAACAGCAATACTTATAAGACACTATGTTGGAAATGGAGGGTGAGTGGGCGGGGGGAAGGGAGAGGACAACTGGGAGGAAAAGGAGGGGAGGGGTAACAATGTTCGACAAGAAATGTACTCATTACCTTACATATGTAACTGTAACCCCTCTGTACATCACCTTGACAATAAAATTTAAAAAAAAAAAAGAAGAAACAGACCACTGAGGAAAAGATGGAGAAATCTGGCCACTAAGGAGCTTTTTAACATCTTTTAAGATAATTAAAATAATTATTAAAAATAAGTAAAAATTTGATGAACTTGAAATAAAACCCAAATTAAATGCTTTTTCACCAAAAGGAAAAAAAGTACGTATCTAAGTATATTTTTATGTGCTGTTTTCTCAGATATAGTTAAGAATATGTCCAACATAGCTAGCGAGATCAGTAGAAAGCCCACGGATTGGTAGATCTTCACTAGCCATACAACAGACAAGGCCTTCATATCTAAAATATACTTAAAACTCAAAAAATTAAATCCTCCATCAACAAATCCTCAAAGAAACAACTGCCTGATAAATAAGTGGGCTAAAGACTTAAAGAGAGACTTCTCTGAAGAGTAAATAAGAATGGCCAATAGACACATGAAGAAATGCTCAACTTCTGTAGCCATAAAAGAAATGCAACATTGAGATTCCACCTTACCCCAGTTAGAATGGCTATAATCAAGAAATCTAATAACAACAGATACTGGAGGGAATGTGCCCAAAAGGGAATCCTACTGGATTGTTGGTGGGAGTGTAAACTTGTTCACCCACTTTGGAAAGTAGTATGGAGGTTCCTCAAAAGACTCCACATAGAGCTCGCCTATGACCCAGCAGTCCCACTTCTGGCCATTTACCCAAACAATCACAAACAAGGCCATACTAAAGCTCCAGCACAACTGTGTTTATTGCAGCATTATTTACCATAGCTCAGATATGGAACCAACCGAGATGCCCCTCAGTAGATAAATGGATTAAGAAAATGTGGTTGTATGTGTGTGTGTGTGTGTGTGTATGTGTGTCTGTGTCTGTGTGTGTATTATACAATGGAATTGTATGCCTCCATCAGAAAGACCCCGTTTGCTAGGAAATGGAAAGACTTGGAAAAAATTATATTAAGTGAAGTAAGCCTGACCCAAAGAAACATAGGTCCCATGGTTTCCCTTATTTGCAATAACTAGTATATATCTGGGACAAGCAGAAAATGTCAGATAAGATGATGTTAAGCGAAATGAACCCCAAGATAGGGACACAAGTGGTTTTTTTCTTTCTTGCTATTGTTTCTAATGTATTTTTAAGGTACCATGTGATTTTTTTGTTGCTTGTATGTCCCTCCCCCATGGTATAACCCCTGTTTTCACTGTATTTGATGTTGGTATAATTTGGGGAGAGGAGGGGAAAAAACAAATTGTTTAAATAAGGATTCAGGTTGACCCATTGCAGCAATGAGATGTACAAGACGCTCTGTCGAAAAATGAACTTTACAATTTAGGTGGGGGGGGGTATAGTTGGGGAGGTGGGAGAGAAGGGATGGTAGGAGAAGAACAAAGGAGGAGGCAACAATGCTGGATATGAAATGTACTCATTACCTTGCCCATGTAACTGATCCTGCTGTACAGTATTTTCACAATAAAAAACTTATTAAAAAATCATATTAAGTGAAGTTACCCAGTTCCAAAGAAATTTAGGTCCCATGGTTTCCCTTATTTGCTGAAAAGCTCAAAATGTACAAATGACCATATAAGATGATGCTAAGCGAAATGTACCCCAAGATATGAACACAAGAGGTCTGTCTTTATTGTTATTGTTTTAAATGTACCCTGTGATTTTCTTTTGTTATTGTTGTTTCCTTTGTATGTTCTTTCCCCTAAAACATATCCCCTGTAGTCACTGTACTTGAATTTGATACCCTGCATCTTGTATGTCTAATCTGGGGATGGGAAGGGGAATAACAGAACACTGAAACAAGGACACAGGATGACCCATTGCAACAAAGATACCCACAGGACAGTATATGGAAACGAACTTTACAACTTCAGGCGGCTAGAGAGGGGGAGGAGGGAATAAGAGTGAGGGAGGTCAGGGAGGGAAGGATAGTGGGACAACAACAAGGAAGGGAAGGGGTAACAATGATCGACAAGTAATGTTCTCATTGCCTTACTCATGTAACTGTAACCCCTCTGAACAGCATCTTAACAATAAAATTTTAAAAAAAAGAAAAGAATATGTCCAAATAACTGTGGCTTAATGACATTTCCTATCTCACATGTGATGTGGATGGAGGTACCCTCAGTGGTCAGTGTTCTGGGTCATTTTCCTTCTTACCATCATGGCCAATGACAGGCTGCCTGCTGTGTATAAGCATTATATTTTTATACAACAAAGTCCAAAAGCAGAAAGGAAGAATAGGACCTTTTCTATCTTTGCTTTCTTTCATCTGGATTAAACCTTTCCCTGTAATCCCAGCAAAATTGTTATTCCCCATTAATCAAAACTGGTTCCATACTTAATTGTAAGTCAGTCACTGATAGGAGGAATAGGAGTCCTCTGATTAACTTAGAAGTTTAAATTCATCTAGAACTGGAGTAGGGACTGCACTATCAAGGTAGCTCAATGATGTCTCCAGTTAAGTCACATCAGGGTTTGTTATAAGACAGAGAGTCTGGTGAGTACGTGGTTACCAAACATTGTTATGTAGTTCTAGTGGGACAATTTGTGTATAAATTTAATGAGTACTCCTGTGTAAATAGCAAAAGTGCAATATATTTGTCTTAAAAGAGGACCATGTGATCCTGTAAGGACTACTTGATGATTGTCATAGAAAGCTAACATTTGGATTTTAATCAACTGCTTACTATTTATCTTGGGCACAGTCCATGTTTGTTGATATTTAATGATTTTTGACAGTTTCTGATTTATTTAATGATTTTTGACAGTTTCCGATTTATTTATGTTGATTATTACTTCTTTCAGGTGGATTCTCCACAGTTTTCTTGGTGCGGACTCATGGTGGAATCCGATGTGCATTGAAGCGAATGTATGTCAATAACATGACTGACCTCAACATTTGTAAAAGGGAAATTACAATTATGGTAAGTGAAAGAGTAACTTTGTTTTAGAAATTTGGTGTATTCTGTTTGAATCTCATATTCACAAGCTTTTAGTCAAGCTTCTTTCTTGTTTATACACTATAGAAAACTTGAAGATCAGATTAATCAGCTTATCAGAGAAATTCATAGTTCATTCCTTATGTTAATCCTTAAGTCTAAATAGTCAACTGTTCTTCTCTTCTTTCCTGCTAGATTGAACAGGCAAGTGATTCTTTTTCTTCTTTTTAATGAATTACATAATAAATACTATGTTTAATCACCATCTAATTTAACAAATAAAACCTTACACATACTGTTGAAACCTCTCTGTGTTCTTCCCTAATTGTATCCCTGTACTATGTTCTCATGCACCAAGAAACATCTGTCCTGTGTTTAGTGTTTACCATTTCTATGTATGTTTCATATAATCACTTTATGTATTTATACTTACAAACAGCGGTTTTCCATTAGAAAATCATGCTGTCAATATGATTTTCTTCTGAAATGTTTTCTTCTGAAGTATGCATTTTATGACAGAGCATCATTTAGCAAGGAAAAAATTCCTTTTTGCCTGTAAATTGTAACTACTCGGGAGGCTGAAATCTGAGGATCATAGTTTGAATCCAGTCAGCCAGTAAAATCTTTGAATCTCCAATTAACCATCCTCAAAAAAGCTAGAGTGGAGCTGTGGCTCAAGAGGTACAGAGCTAGTCTTCATAGTGCTAATTAAGTAGTTAAAAATAATAAAGCAGCCAGGCACCTGTGGCTCACACCTGCAATCCTAACTACTCAGGAGGCTGAGGTCTCAGGATCATGGTTCAAAGCCAGCCCAGCAGGAAAGTCCGTGAGACTCTTATTTCCAATAGAAAACTGGAAGTGGTGCTGTGGCTCAAGCATTAGAGCTCTAGCCTTGAGCTGAGGAGCGCAGCAAAAATTTCCTTTTCTTCTGGTGTTGTATCAGTGCTATGGAACGACTTCTTGTTTTTATTCTGCCTTCTCCATTTTCTCTTTTTCCTCCTCATCCTTCACTGTTTATCCTATACACATATGTGTCTAAGCCTTTGCTTTATTGAAGTTTACATAAAATAGCAACTATATTGAAGTGAGTTCTTCCATTATTTGTCCTTTCAGTAGAATTTGTATAATTTTTGTTTCTCTATACAGGATCTCTCATGTACCAGGCAACTGAGCTATATCCTCAGTTTTAGTCTTTTTAGTTTCATTATATTCTGATGACTGTTTTGTACAAGGAGTAAAAGTTTCAAATTTGTCATTTTGTTATTATTTCCTTAAACTCATTAGTGTTAATCTATAATCTCTGGTTTCTTTTCACAAATCTTTACTAGCCATTTGCTGTTTTTTAGATTATGTAGTTAGAAAATTTTAAATAACTACACTTGAATTTCAGTGTTACAGGGAAAACAAATGAGAATAGTACTAAAGAACTTAATTCTGTTTCTAAGAAAGTATAGTAGTTGTAACATTTTATTCTTGAATCATCAAGAATGGTCTTTTTAGTTTTCGAAAATATTACTTTTGAATGAATCATTTTCCTGGTTGAATTTAAGAACATATATTCATTGATTATTTGTTAGGAAATGGATGTCATATGCAGGCAAACTTCACAGTAAACCATAGATGCCTCTCTTTGGTTGAAATGTGGCTGAATATTCAAATTCATTAAATAATATCAGTTTAGGCTTCAATTAATTACTAATACAGGGTCCAAATGTATATTTTACCATTTAACTTGTTTTCTTTTTCTTTTTCACAGAAAGAACTATCTGGTCACAAAAATATTGTGGGTTATCTGGATTGTGCTGTTAATTCATTTAGTGATAATGTATGGGAAGTTCTTATCTTAATGGAATACTGTCGAGGTAAGTATCTGCATTTGTCTTATACTAAAAATACTCTTCTTAAAATTGGTTACAACAAATAACTGGTTTCTCCCAAGGCAGACACTGAAAATTGCAATCTCAATTTTTATTGTCTTAATTAGAAAGTCTATTAAAAAGTCACTTAAAGTCTACTCATAGATTACAATTACAGTTGTTGTAATCACAAAGCTATAACAACTACACAGTTGTTATAGTTAGGATATGAGTATGTGCATGGGAAATTATAAAGTGTTTGGTTTAAAACAGGAACAAGGAATCTCAGCTAACTGAAATTCTTTTATAGTTAAAGATTGTATAATATGGGGCTGGGAAGGGGGCTCAGTGGTAGACTGCTTGGCTTGCATGCATGAGGCCCTGTGTTCGATTCCTCAGCACCACATAAACAGAAAAAGCCAGAAATGGTGCTGTTGCTCAAGTGGTAGATTGCTAGCCTTGAGCTGAAGAGCTGAGGGACTGCCCAGGGCCAAAGTTCAGGCCCCACGACCGACAAAAACAAAAAAAATGTGTAATGTGTCAACATTAATTAGTGTTGTAAAATTTTCTGATAGCCTCCATGTTACTGTAAACATACTAAATTTAATAAAATTTTAGGTTGCATTTTGACTTACGTATGATCTTTATTAACTGTTAGGTCATTTTTTTGGGTTCATGTATAAATATAAGAAGATAGAGAATTCTGTTTTATTTAGGCCTAATGTGGTATTTTAAAGAAATGTTTGTTTTGTATAGCATACCTTAATGGTAATGTCATTAAAAATCATTGCTAATGTTAAGAATTTAGATATGTGGGTTTGTGTGGGGGCGAGCACAATAAACTTGCTACAGACTTTTCTATTTTTTTTTTAGCTAGTATTAGGCAGTTTGATTTCTAAGCATCAATTTAGATTCTAGAAGGCAGTAATGATTGTTGATTAAATTTTCAAACATTCCTGCAATTTGCTGAAAGAAAGGAGAAAAATTATAGTAACAATTGTGATGAAAATATTTTATTCACATTAGTGTTGTAAGATGAGGGCAGATGAGAATAAAATGAGCCAATATCGTAATATCATGATGTGTTTGTAACTTATTTCTCTATATAACATTCAAAGATAATGTAATACAGTCTCCTTTGTTTCTTTTGCCCAAAATTGTTTTATCTCTGTGGATTTTTGTTTTTGTGGCTTCACACAAAGATTAGAATTTTGTCCTGGTTCTATGAAGAATCTTTAATGGTATTTTTATTACATTGAGTCTGTAGATTGCTTTTGATTGTGATAGGATGGACATTTCATAGATTGTTGATTCTTCTAATCCTTGATTTTTTGGTCTCTTTTTTTTTTTTTGTTTCATGATTTTTTTTTAAAGTTTTCATCGTAGGTGCTTCATTTGTTAAGATATATTTTTCTGGTAGTTATTATAGCATTGCTTTCTTCTTTTAAGCTGATTTTTAAAACATCTTGCATCTTTGTTGAATTCATTTATTACTTGTAATAGGTTTATTGGAGAGTGGTGTAGCATTTGGGGTTTTCTTTGTGTAAGATCATTTCATCTGTACACAGTAACAATTTGACTTCATCTTTTCCAGCTTGAATGTACTTCTTTTTCTTTTTCCTGATATCCATGGCCATGATTTGTGTAACTACATTAAATAAAAGTGGTGAAAATGGATATTCTTGTCTTGTTCCAGATAATGGAAAACTTTCATGTTTCTCCTCTTCACTATAGTGTTAGTTGTTGGCTTTTTACACATGGCCTTTATTGTTCAGGGTTGTCTTCATGAAGGCATGCTAAATTTTGTCAAATGCTTTTTCTCTATCTGTGGAAATGATCGTTTTAAAATTTCTGTTGATGTGGTGTATGCATCACGAGTTGCATGTGTTAAGACATTGCTGTATACATGAGATGAATCCCACTTAATCTTGTTGACAAATCTGAATTTAGACAGTCTAGGTATATAGCCCAGACAGGCTTGAATTTATAATTTTCTTATCTCTGCCTTCAAGTACTGGGATTAAAGGTGTGTGCTATCATGTTGTATAAGATGAAATGGATGATTTTAGACATTGAGTAATCTTTCTGTTTATCATTTTGCCAGTATTGGGGTTTGAAGTTAAGAGTTAAGGCTTTGTGATTGTTACATGTATACACTACCGTTTGATCCATGCCTTCATGTCTTCTGACTTGATTATTTTTCAGATAGGGGTTGTGTGCTTTTATTTATTTATTTATTTCCTTTTGCCTTTACTAAGTCTCCTGATTAGCTGGGATTATAGACATTATAGGCATGTGGTGCCACCATACCAGAGCCATTTCTCTCTCTCTCCCTTTGTTTTTTTGTTTTTCATTTGTTTGTGCTCTTACTTAATTACCCTTGCTTTTACTGATTTGGATCTGCTTTGTTCTAAATTTCATAGTTCTTGAGCTACAGTGATAGTTTTTTCTTCTGTGGCTGTTTCTATATCCCATAAATTTTGATATATTGTATCTACATTTTCACTTGTTTTAAGGAAGAATTTAAATATCCTTTTTATATTTCTTCCTTGATTTATTGGTTGTTGAAAGAATAAATTGTTTACTTTGTATATATTTATATACTTCTAAGTTTTTCTTATTATTAGTTTCTGATTTTATTGCCTTATATTCAGAAAAAGATACTTAGGATTTCAGTTTAAAACAAACTGTTGAGCCTGATTTTGTAGCCTATCTTATAATCTATCCTGGAGAATTTTCCATATGCTGAATAAGAAGACAGTGTATTCATCAGTGGCTGGATGGAATATTCTGTAGGTGTCTGCTAGGTCCATGTAGTCTTGGGCTTGATCTCTCCTATTTGTCAAATTTTATTGCTGAAATTCTAGTACTAATATCTCCTGCTATTATTATTATTGGAGCTTGTCAATCTCTATGTCTTTTAATATTTGCTTTACACATTTACATGTGCTAATAATTGGGTTATTTCCTTGGCAAATAGACTCCTTTATCATTATTTAATGACTTGTCTCCTTTTATTACTTCTGATTTAAAGCCCATTTTATTTGATGTAAATATGGCTAGTCCTACTTTCTCTTGGGCTTCATTTATATAGAATATTTATTTCATCTGTTCACTTTTAGTTTATATGTGCCCTTTGTGACATGGTTATTTATTTATTTTTTTTGGGGGGGTCTGGTCATGGGGCTTGAACTCTGGGCCTGGACGCTGTCCCTCAGCTCTTCAGCTCAAGGCTCGTGCTCTACCACTTGAGCCACAGCACCACTTCCGGCTTTTTTTCTTTTTGCTTATATGGTGCTGAGGAATCGAACCCAGGGCCTCATCCATGCAAGGCAAGTGCTCTACCACTGAGCCACCTTCCCAGTCCCTGACATGGTTATTTTTTTAATCCATTGTCACTCTTAATTGGAGAATTTAATCTATTTATACTTAATTTAATCTATTTATACTATTTAATCTATTTATACTTAAGGTAATGATAAATAAGGTCTTACTCCAGCCATTATGTAACTTGTTTTCTAGTTTTTTTTCCTCCCAACTCTTACAATCTTTCTTTGTGTTTATTCTGCTGTATTTTAATTCTTTTCTCATTATTTTTATGCATTGTAGGTTTTTTTTGGGGAGGGTTATCATTGGACTTACAAGGACCCCTTTTGATTTTAACAAGCTATTTTCAAATGCTAGCAACATGCTAGCTGGAGGAGATCCCTCCTCCAGCGCCTTTGCCGGCCTCTCACACTGGGATCCTAACGTTCTCAACCTCCTAAGAAGTTAGGATTACAGGTGTGAGGTAGTGGTGCACAGCTTATTTAATTTAATTTTCTTGCTCTGTAGTCCAGGTTAGCTTCAAACTCAAGATCCTCCTGCCTGGTTACTGATATTACAAGTGTGTACAAACTATGCCCACCTTCAGTTATTACTTTTAATTGCTTTTGCTTTTGATATTTACACTGTAGTTGGAATGTTTTTCATATCATATTTACAATATTTAGAGCATTCTAAATTTATTGGCATTATTTTTATTTAGACCTTTTAAACTTCTGATACTTTGTTTTTACTTATAATGTCTCTGTTTTTCCTTTTAAATAACATCCATTAGTATTTACTTTAGGATAGATCTGGAAGAGACATAGTTTGTCAATGTTTGTCTTGAATGTGTTCCATTTCTAAACAATAGTTTTGCTGAGTACATTATTTTTGGTTGGCAGGTTTCTTCTTTTTCCTGCAGTGTAGTGAAAATCATATATGAGAAATCTAGGTGAATTGAAATTCCCTTTATATTGTTTCTTTTCTCTGGCTTCCCTGAGAATCTTTTCATTTTCATTTGAGAGCTTTAGTATATCTTGGGTAGATTTGGTTTAGTTAAATCTAATGGTGACTTTTGATCTTTCAGTACCTGATTATTTGTATCTTTCTTTTAGTTTAGGAAAATTTCTGGTATTATGTCTTTTAATAAGCTTTTGGAATTCTTAAGTCTCTTGGGTCTCTCTTGAACAGTTGTGGCTTGAATATTTGTTCTTGCATACTATCTTAAAGTTTCAGAAGGCTGTCTTCTCTTTCCTCACTTTTTTTTTTTTTTGGTTGGTCGTGGGGCTTGAAATCTGGGCTTGGGCGCTGTCCCTGCACTCTTCAGCTCAGGAGAGCACTCTACCGCTTGAGCCACAGTGCCACTTCTGGCTTTCTTGGAGATGAGTCTTACGGACTTTCCTGCCTGGGCTGGCTTTGAACCGTGATCCTCAGATCTCTGCCTTCTGAGTAGCTAGGATTATAGGCCTGAGCCACCGGTGCCCAGTGTCTCTTTCCTTTTCATTCTTTTTTTCTTTTTTCTTTTCAAAGAACCTATCTTCTATTTGATCTTTTCTGCTACATTTTTAATTTTACTTATTGTGGTTTTCAGTTCAAAGGTTTGAGTTTTTAAGATTGCTTCCATTTCTGTTAATTTTCCTTGTGAGAGTATTGAGTCTTTTCTCTGTGTTGTCCTGAAGCTTGAGTATCCTCACAGGTACTTAAGTCTCAGAGAGTTCTTTGGAGAACTGTGTGGTTGGTTTGTTATATCTTATTTTATCATTATGTGTGCTCATGGTTTAATCCAAGCTCTTGATGCTTGGTGAACAATGTCATCTGTTTTAAGTATTTATTACAGACTGATTCTTTTCCTGTAGTCCCTTCACTGTTTAGTACTAGATGGTATCCTACAAGCAAGTTGTTGTGAGTCTGCTGATTGTTTTGGTATTGTAGGTTCATTGAAGCCCAAGTTTGTCCCCAAATCTCAGCTACTATTATTATAATGAACAGGTACAGTACCTAAAAAGGGTATTACAGGGTATTCTATCCCCTCAAGCTTCTTCCTGGGGCTGCAGTAGGCCTAGAAACCTGTATTAAAAGTATGACCTCTGAAAATTACTGTTTTGTTCAGCTGGGCAGGTCGTAAATCAGATGAATAAGAAGCTGCAGACAGGTTTTACAGAACCTGAAGTGTTACAGATCTTCTGTGATACCTGTGAAGCAGTTGCAAGATTACACCAGTGTAAGACTCCAATAATTCACCGGGATCTGAAGGTAAGTATAATACTTACACAGAATTGAGTACTGTGTTCTAGACTTAAGATTTAAAATGTTTTTGGACTATTTGAGTGTGTGTGTGTGTGTGTGTGTGTGTGTGTGTGTGTGTGTGTGTGTGTGTGTGTGTGTGTGTGTGTGTATTTGTTTTAGGGCTCTAACTCAGGGCCCTGTGCATGCATGCTAGGCAAATACTATATCACTGAGCTACATTCCTAACCCAGAAATAGGTTTGCTTACTAGCATGGAGGTTGATTTCTCTACCACCTTCTACGTTTCCTGAGGTTTCAGATTCCAGTCTACTCACTTGTGCTTTACTTGACTGTGAATTTTTAATATGACCCTACAGGTGGATTTTTTTGCCCCCTGTTCCGCATCTCTGTTTCTCCTAGTAGGCTTCTTGAAGCGGTCTAATTTGAGCAGAAATATGGATGTCACTGACACACATCAAGTGCCCTTTCACAATATTCTCTACCAGTTCATCCTTCTTTCTGTTTGTTTGTTTTTTTTGTAGATCACATTAAATTTCAGAGTATTTTCAAGATATCCTGGAGGAACAGAAAAGATACCAGAAGAGACTGCTACTGGGTCTCTTTTTTGCATTTTTGTAATTAGCTGTTATTTTTTTACTTGCTATAATTTAATTATGATTACCTTATCTTCTCTTTTTGGTGTCAGTACTGGGGTTTGAACTCAGTGCCTGGGCATTATACCTTATGTTTTGGGCTAATAGCTGGTGCTCTGCCATTTGAGCCATAGTCCTTCAGCTTTTTGGCTGTTAATTGAAGATTTTAGTCTCAGATACTTTCCTGCCATATCTAGCTTTGAAATGCAATCCTTAAATTTCAGTCTCCTGAGTAGTTAGGATTACAGGTGTGAGCCACTGGCGTTGGCTTTATCATACTTTCTTACGGGATTTTGACTTCTTATATTTTGTATCTGCTTGTTACATTGAAATATCCTTCCAAAGAAATTGAAAATTCCTGGTATCATATTGCTAGAGAAATCATTTATCCATAAGTGTCTTCTTTGATGCCCACAATTACTGAGATTACAAAACTCATTCTTCTTGGCTTAGTGATAGAATCTTGCTTGCTTGTGACACTGAAATATTTTATGCCTAGATATTCCCTTGCTTACTTTTTCTCCACTTTCAGTCTGTCAGATTTGCTTTCTCAGTGAGTCCTATCCTGTGTTATATCTTTTAAAATCTAAAGGCTGAGCCGGGCGCCGGTGGCTCACGCCTGTAATCCTAGCTACTCAGGAGGCTGAGATCTGAGGATCGCGGTTCAAAGCCAGCCCGGGCAGGAGAGACCGTGAGACTCCTATCTCCAATAAACCACCAGAAAACCGGAAGTGGCGCTGTAGCTCAAGTGGTAGAGCGCTCGCCTTGAGCTGAAGAGCTGAGGGACAGCGCCCAGGCCCAGAGTTCAAGCCCCACGACCAACAAAAAAAAAAAAAAAAAATCTAAAGGCTGACACTTGAGCTGCTTATCTCTTTTGCCTATTTTTTAAAAAAAGTATTTGTCACGTTCTAAGATGTTGTGTAATTGTGTGTGTGTGGGTCCTCTCTCAGCCAAATGTAAACTTCATGAAGGTGGGAATGTATGTCAATAATTTTTTTATTTTATAAACTAAATATAAAAAGTATTCATTGATTTTTAAGATTCAACGAATTACATACACATTCATAGATTTTTTTTTCTTTTCTAGTGATGTATTTAGAACAGTGCAGTTCTAAACATTCAGATCAGTGCCTGGTATATAGAAGTGACTCATTATTTAATGAAATAAGTAAATCCCTATTCTGGCTGATTATACAAGATTCTGAAATATGCTTACAAAATACATTTAAGATGAAAGAGAATAGATGTCACTTAGAATACAGGTTGCTAATCATGAAAGGTATCCTTGGTGGAAATATGTTGTAAGAGGAATGAGGATAGTGTTAAAATTCATCACCTCACACATCAGTCCCTTAATTTGGAAAATAGTATGGCTCATCTTAGTATTTTAGGATGTGTAATTCTTTAATTTCCTCTAATAACTTGGAATGATTTTCTTGTGCTGTTATAGCTCATTAACTTTTGCATGCAAATTTTCTATTTTCAACTTAGTCTTCTTGTTTTAAAATTTAGAAAAGATATTAGAGTGCATAATTTTTGTGTAGTCCATATTTTATATGCAGGCTCTTGCATGTGTAAATTTGTGCAAACATGTTAGTTTTAAATAGATTTCTTACCATGAATATTTTGTTCAAATGAAATACTGAATGAAAGATTTAAGTATAATATACGGAAGGGAAGTTATAAAGAAACTGTGATGAGTATTTTGACAGAGTAGAAAGATGCACATTACACATATAAGAATATCAAAAATAAAGATATTGTGACAAAAGTAATAATAATGACTTTTTTGGGTGCTTGCTATATGCCAAACACTGTTCCAAGTACTTTGCATATATTTAACTTGCCCAATTTTAACAACAATCTCAGGTAGAACTTATAATCTTCTCTGTTTTCTGCATAAGTATACAAGAGTAGTTAGGCAAATTGTCCAAGGGTATGCATGCCAATAAGTAGCACCCACGTTTTAGTATTCCAGAAACTGTGTATATAATTTGTCTATTTTAGTTACTGCAACAACTCTGATCTCCAGATTAAGGTGTACACTGCCATTCAGTGTCATATTTCAATAGAAATAACACTATAGGAAAAACATCTGCAATGAGAAATCCAAAGTTTGGAATGTCTGTTCTGAATTATTTTGAATGCTGATATGATGCTACAAGTGGAAAACTGTTCCTGACAGAGTGAAAATACAGCTGCAGAAAATACCATAAAAATTAGTCAGACTATATGCATAAAATGTATACAAAACACAGTCCCATCAAGATAATAAGGAATCCATAATTAAAAGACAAGTGTGGTACCAGACATTTAGTATAAGGGCTTTTCAACCTATAGAAGTCAGTCTGAGATAGAACATAAGTTGTCATTATTTTTTGTCTGCAGACAGGATAAAATATCAAATGGAGAAAAATTGAGATTCAGTAAAAGAGAAACTTGACTTTGCTACTATTCTCATTTATATAGGCAATTTTACAGAAATTTTAGGATTATTTGATATATACAGACTTTCTTGGAGTCAGAGAAGTTCTCTATCTGCTTTACCTTTTGAGTACTGGGATTACAGGATTACACTGTGCACCACTGTCTCAAGCTGTAAAATAAACTTTTTTTTTTTTGGGTCCTGGGCCTGGGCATTGTCCCTCAGCTCTTCAGCTCCAAGCTAGAGCTCTACCACTTGAGCCACAGTGCCACTTCCGGTTTTCTGGTGGTTTATTGGAGATAAGAGTCTCACAGACTTTCCTTTACATGGTGGATTTGAACTGTGATCCTCAGATCTCAGCCTCCTTAGTAGCTAGGATTAGAGGTGTGAATCACCAGCACCCGGCTGTAAAATAATCTTTTTACGTAGTTAATTTGCCCTCACAATTTGAAGTATTTATGTTTATATATGCATATATGTACATGTGTATATATTCATGGGGTAAAGATAATGTAAATGAGTTGTAAAAGATAACTTTCACATTGAAAATACTGATCATTGATTTTTTTTTCTTAAGGTAGAAAATATTTTGTTAAATGATCGTGGAAATTATGTACTTTGTGACTTTGGCAGTGCCACTAATAAATTTCTCAATCCTCAAAAAGATGGAGTTAATGTAGTAGAAGATGAAATTAAAAAGTAAGTATTTGTTTTTGTTGTATTTTGTTTCATGAGAATTTTAGCTACCTTGAGTCTGTGAACAGTTTTGTTAATACAGATTTTACATTGTTCTATTTATAGTATCTCCAAATGTAGTTAGTGGTTTTGCCATGGGTGCAAAATTTTGTTTACATAATATATAAACATGTAAACAGATTTATAAAGAAACTTTTGAAGTAGGCTTTAATGATTAATGGCTCACTAAAGAGAATTTTGGTCAATTTGTTAACATGTAAGTTTTAAGGTTACAGAACTGCCATTTGTGTGTATTGAAAACTATATGGAAAGCGTTAGAACTGTATTAATGTGCAGGCACATGTAGCCTATGACTAATCCCAACTACTTGAGAGGCAGAGATAGGGAAATCGAGTTTCTAGGTCAGTCTAGGTAAAATGTTAGGAAGACCCTATCTGCAAATAAGCCAAAGTAATGGTACATGCCTGTCATCCTAGTTACAGGAGCCTGAAATAGAAGTATTGTGGCCTGAGGCCAACACTCCACAAAACCCATCAGACATTATCTAAAAAACAAACTAAAGCAAAAAGGGATGGAAAGGTGGTTTTTGTGGTAGAGCTGCAAGTTTGAACTTTTAGTACTGCTAAACAAAACAAAAACACTATTATGAAGTCACTGTTACTTTATAATTGTATGTTGGAAAACTGGTGAAATATGTCATACATACTTGATGTTTTCTTTCTTTCTTTTTTTTTTTTTTGTTGGTCGTGGGCTTGAACTCTGGCCTGACCGCTGTCCCTGCGCTCTTCAGTTCAAGGCTAGTGCTCTACCACTTGAGCTACAGCGCCACTTCCTGTACTTGATGTTTTCTTAATTCCATAGTTTCTATTGTTTGTAGAGTGCCTGTTCATTTTAGATCATCTTAATAAAATGACACACAAGGCAAAACATTTATCAGAATACAAATGTGAAAGTAGTTGTCATTTCTAAGTCTCCATTCATTAATTCCTCAAAGTTCTCACTTGTTCAAGAGCTGTCATTTATATTACAACATTTTGAAATAGTTCAAATGGATCTGTTATATTTTTATAAGATAAAGCTATCTAAACTACATCTTTCTATTCAGGAAACAACTTAGAATGTTTGTGTTAGATTCCATAAAAACAAAGACCTTATTAAACATACTAATGTTCTGAAGAACACAGGAATAATACAATTTTCAACTGGCTTCTTGGAATAATATTTATATCCACATAATTTTAAAATAGTTTGGATCAAAACTTAGTGGCTATTGTTGAATTCTACTCAGTTATCTCTAACATTTTAATCTTTGCTATTGCATTCTAATGTATAGATAAGATCTTGGTGAATTTTCCTGATTGAAATTTTGTGAATGAAAGCTCATTAGTTATTGTGCTTCTGTTCAGTTTGCCTTGTAGCTCAACCTAGGAGCTAATGTACTAATTCATTCAATTAGCAACTATTATTCAGGACCAACTCCATTTTTTGTTTTGGTGAACAAAAATCCTGCCATTATGCATTTTATATTCTAATATCTTAGATCATTTCTCCAGCATTTTTCAGACATTTTACCAACAAAGCTTTTTGGGAAAAGAAAGGTGGTAGAATATTGTGTTTTAAAAATATATAATGAATGTTTTAAACTAAGATAGAAATGAATATTGCTATGATACAGAGAGTTCATTTATATTCTGCTATTTTCTGCTATGATATTTGAGCACTGCTTCATTGAATGTTCTGTTAATGCTTTTAGGCTTTTATATTAGTAAATATTGATTTATAGTATATTTTTATTCCAAGTGGCTTACATTGGCAGTCAGTATTAGAAGTATACCTTAGTGTGTGTAGTTAGACTTAGGATAACTAAGTTATTTTGAGAATAACAGTTATAAAAATTTTTAAGTACATTTACTATTGTGTATAAATAACTATATTAACATCTATCAAAATATTATTTAGTAAACTTAAGTTTTTGAGAAGGTAGAGTTTTACTTTTAATAGACTAAAATAATTTGTAAGGAGACAATTCAAGTTGTATTATTTCATATAAAGAAATTCAAGAAAACTTATTTCTAATACGTTTTTAATAAAGGAAATTTAGCTTTTATATCATGGGAGATGCTATTATACTTATTGAATAAAAGTGTACGTGGATGCTTTGCATTGTTTAATCTTCACTAAATTTTTAATGAACCTTTAGAAATAGCTTTTGTTTCTATGTAATGTTTGGAACTTAAGGGGGATTTTTATTGCATTTTGTAGAGAAACAGTATATTAATCTTGTATTATTTTAATATCTCTACTTCATTCACTTACTGCTAGGTATACGACTCTGTCATACAGAGCACCTGAAATGATTAACCTTTATGGAGGGAAACCCATCACCACCAAGGCTGATATCTGGGTAAGGCCAAGAAAAACTGATACTTGTAACCAAATTTAGAAAAACCTGAGTTAATTTGACTATTTTACTCCAGGTTTCCGAAAGGTATTTCTTTCTTTCTAAGTAAAAGAGAATGATAGTAGAGCTGTTTATTCAGGAGAAAAAAAAACAACTAGGATTCTTTACCTTCTCAATCCTGAGATGAAAAGCTTATATATCAAAGAAACACAGCACATCCATATAATACTGGAACTATAAGATGAGTGTTGAAATTATTTTTTTGATTGAGTAGAATCAAGGTCAATCACAGTGCAGAGAAGTTGAATGTAACTTTTTTTGTTGGTTGTGGGATTCGAAATGTGGGCCTGGGCACCCTCAGATCTTCAGCTCAAGGAGAGTGCTCTATCACTTGAGCCACAGCTCCACTTTCAGTTTTCTGGTGGTTTATTGGAGATAAGAGTCTCACAGTGTTCCTGCCCAGGCTGGCTTTGAACCACGATCCTCACATCTCAGCCTCCTGAGTAGGATTACAGGCATGAGTCACTGGCTCTGGCTAAAGGTAACTCTTAATTACAGGCAACTTTGCATGGTACTTTAGGATCTTCTAAATAGAAACTGACATAAGAAAACCTTTTTTCTAATTCTAAACATATCATTAAGTATATTGAAGTTTTTTTTAAAACATTTAGTGTATATATAACATACATATGTTATGTATGTAATATATATGCTATATATATAATCTGAATAAATTATCAATAGATCTTATTTTTTATAGTTGATTTTTATGTTACAATCTCAAAATCTCTTTAGAACTTACTCATAAACTATATTTTGGATTGTATTTAATAAAGCTAACAGGAAACTATTTCAAATGAAATCATTTAAATAACTTTAAATTTACCATATTTACTGCTAGTGAGCAGATTATTGATAGAGGAATAAAATTCATTGAGATAGTTCTAAGGCTTACAAAATCCATCAGATATACTTAGTTTTAAAAGCATAGTGTTTAGGGCTGAGGATGTAGCTCAAGGGATGGCTTGCTGACTTAGTAAGGGCAAGGCTCTAGGTTCATCCCCAAGCATAATGATAGCTGGTAGGTTTTTCTCTCCTGGCTTCCTCCCTGTTGGAGTTAGAGTGCCAAGTAAAATCATGAGAGACAAATAGCAAAGTAATAAAAATATTTGACATCATTTGTTTACATAACATATGCATTTTCAACAGCGTTTTTGGTAGTAAAACATGAGTAAAGCAAATTGCAAAAAAGTATGATTTAGTTAATTTGAAGCTGCACCAACTTGTATAATTTAAATTTAATTTCCTTTACTTAGCATTAACATTCAATTCATTAGATCGAGGGTTATGTTCAATATAGACAGTAAATTGAGTTGGATCTTAATTTATGAAAGGAAAGTATTAGAAGAAGCAGTTGTGGAATTCTTTCATAGCTTAATTTTGGGATAGCTGTTCAACCCATATCTTCTGACAAAAACATAGCAACACATAAACATAAACATAAAAATCATAGTTCATTATAGTTGTTAAGTCATCAAGTGTTGATTTCAGAGTCTGTTCCTGAAGCACACAAGTATTATCCAGTATGTTAACAAAAAGGACATGATTATTTGCTGCTGTATTTATTTTCCGTAGGATTTAGTATACATGCAGAAAGATAAAAACAAAAGTAATCAGAAAACATTTATGTTTACATGCTTAAAAAGGTAGAATTTAAATTTCTCTGATGACTCATTTTTATGTTCCCTTCGTTAAATTCAGGTGGAAAAGGAGAGATATTTTAGAAATGAGTTCAGGATTCAGAAAAAGTACTAGTTTAATTTGGTCACAAATTGCAGTTTTGATTATACTTCAGATTCATACAAAATTCAGGAGATTATAGTTACATGTGAAAGTATTCATATAGCACATCATATTTTGGCAAAAAATTCCTTGAAAGTTTTCTTTATAGGTTATTTTATTCTTAGATCTAGAATGCTGATTTTTATTAAGTATTGTAAAATTCAATATGAGATCCTTAGGTTCACTCTTAATGGAAATTGAAGATGATGATAGCCTTCAAAGTCAAATCACTTGTTCTCTCTGTTTCTTGTATAATTTTCATTGTATCAAATAGATAAAGGTGGAAATGCTTAATTGTGTGAAATAATTAGATTCATTGTATGTATAGAAGACTATTTAGATTCACTTTTTGTGTGTGTGTAAGAGGTGATGGAGATCAAACTAGGGCTTGTCAGGTTTCTAGTCAAACTACCACTGAACTGCTTCTTCAGCCCTTAGATTCATATTTTAAAAGTTGTTTGGCATTCCTGGACTTAACATGGAAACTTTTATAACATTTACTCTAATAAAAATGAGTTATTAAAGGTTTGATTGACAATATAAAGCTAGTTGAAATATAGATTTCATTTGCTTTTTCATATGGACATTGGAGAAAAGATAGGAGATATGTATACACACACACACACACACACACACACACACACATATACATGCACACACACACCTTTCCTTTTCATACATATATTAGTTTGTGCCCTGGGGCTTGCACTCAGGGCCTGGTTGCTGTCTGAGATTTTTTGCTCAAGACTCTATCATTTAAGCCCAAACTCCACTTGTATCATGGACATTCCTGCCTGGGCTGCCTTGTAACTGTGATCCTCAATCCTCAGCCTCCTGAGTAGCTAGGATTACAGGCATCAGCCACTTGAGCCAGGCTTGAATGATTTGATTTTAAAACATGATTTTTAATAAACTTCAAATACTACTTAATGCCCATCCTTACTTTATAGGTTATATACTAGTTATGTACTAAGACTTTTTTCTTTGTTTTAAAAATAACAATAACAAAGGAGCTAAGACTGTTAACTAGCCTGATGTTAGCGATATATAATCTAGAGCAATGTAGCCAACTCTAGTCATAAATGTGATAGTAAAGCTCATGCTTAAAAAGTTAAATGTCTTTTGAAAAATTAGTATATTAAGTTGTGAAGCAATAGTTGTGAAAAGTTTAATCCGATATAGGAGCATTAGATTGTTTAAAAAATAACCTATTTAGTTTTTGGTTTGGGGCCATTTTAATATTTTGTGGTTACTGAGCTCTAATGACCATGTTTCTTTGTTTTACAGGCCTTGGGATGTTTACTGTATAAACTTTGTTTCTTCACTCTTCCTTTTGGTGAGAGTCAGGTTGCTATCTGTGATGGCAGCTTCACCATCCCAGACAATTCTCGGTATTCTCATGACATACATTGTTTGATAAGTAAGTACCTGGGGAAAGTATCTGTAAAAAAATTGTATAATTTACTTAGGGCCTGCTTATATTCTTTTACTTGAGTCTAGTCTATTAATTTTATGCATTATAATTTTGCAAAACTATAATAAAGAGAAGCGTTTAAAAATAGGCACATGTGATTTGTATGGGAATGAAAGCAGTCTGATTCTGATTAGTACAAGGGTATTTTTTAATTCCTAGGTAAGATTTAATAACATGCAACAGAGATTATTAAAGCAACTGGAATTATTCATTTTTTTCATTTGTAAACAAATATTGAGTTGTTGCCTTTTTAGATGAAAACATTGCAAAACATGATACCATTGCTAATCACCATTAAAATACCTATAAATGTTAATATAGAGGTAAATATGAAGGAGCTAAGACATAGCAATCTCTTTGGCAAGGCCCTTTAAGTTTGTTTTATTTTTGGTCAGTCGTGGGGCTTGAACTCTGGGCTTGGATGCTGTCCCTGCACTCTTCAGCTCAAGGTTAGTGCTCTACCACTTGAGCCACAGCGCCACTTCCGGTTTTCTAGTGATTTATTGGAGATAAGAGTCTCACAGACTCTCCTGCCCGGGCTGGCTTTGAACCATGATCAGGCAAGGCCCTTTATTCCAAAAGAACACTTAAGTGCCTTCCATCCTCCTGTAAGATTTTCATATATGCTGTAATTTAACATTTCATATATGTACAGTTAAAATATTGGAAAAAGATGTTTTGAGGAGAGAGAACTACGTTAAGCAAGTGTTCTACCACTGAGCACTTGTCTTCTGCTTGGTGTTATTTTTTGAGACAATCTTGCTATGCAGCTCAAGTGCCTTGTATAGGCAGAATCTTAGAGATTCAGAATGGCCCACCACAGCTCTACTTTTCTCATGGGCCTGCACATTTGGTGTGCCACATTGCAAGATGTGAATTTTTGAAGAGAGCAAAACATACCTTCATCTCTAATGGAATAAATGTTATACTCAATTCTACCTTGTCTTGTTTTCAGTATTATCCCTGATTGTTCAGAATTTAGGACAATAAAAACTTCCTTACTTTTATTGTTCAAAGAAATGATTGAGGAGCTTAATGATTATGTAATCTAGATAAATGAATTTTAACCTTTTATCATAGCCCTTTTTGCAAATTATTGTAGCTATAATGCTATTTTGCTGCTAAGTGTACGGTATTTTAGTAACAAAGTAGGATTTTGAATGGGGAGTTTCTTGAAATGTCTTGAAGTCTCTGAATGTTTTTACTGGATACTGTATGAGAGACTGGACAATTTATACACTGATGTGTAATATGATTAGTAAATAGTAATAAAATCTAATTTCCCTGTGTTTGTGTTTCTGTCCATCTGTCTTTCCATGAATGTCTATGCACAAAATAAACACTATTGATAATTTTAGGACGTGATTGAGATTTAATTAATTATGCTTTAATGATGCAGTGCATCAGATCCTTCCTTTGTCAGTATATCTAAAGATTTTAGTTTTTATCATTCTTGGTGTAAATTTATGCCCCACATAAAAATTTTTGAGTAAAATAAAAGCATTCAAATATTTTACTTCCTATTAAAAGTTAAATATATTTTATTAAAAAAATTTTTTTTTGATTGTGGAGCTTGAACTCGGCCTGGATGCTGTCCCTCAATCAGCTCTTCAGCTCAAGGCTAGCACTTTACTACTTGAGCCATCGCGTCACTTCCAGACTTTATTTTTTAAATAGTGTTTTATAGTAAAAGCTTAAGAAAGTGCTTTAAAATATTTTTAATTTTATTGTAAAGGAGTTGGACAGAGGGAGTACGTTTACCTCCATCTCATTTTTCTCCCACTTTCTCTTCTCAGTCCCTCCCTCCCCAAGTTGTAAAGTTAATTTCCAACATAGTGTCTTATGAGTGTGGCTGAAGGTTTTTTTTATTATAAAGGTGATGTACAGAGGGGTTACAGTTATATAAGGAAATGAGTACCATTCTTGTAGAACATTGTTACTTCCTCTCTAGTTTCTCCCCTTACTCCCCAGTCCCTCTCCCCCCATTCCCTGCCTCTCCAAGTTGTAAACTTCATTTCCAACATAGTGTCTTGTGAGTATCACTGTTGCATTGGTTCACCCTTTGTTCTTTGTCTCACCTTTTCTGTGATTCCCCTTCCCCTTCCCTAATCAGATAAACTTATATACAATACAAAGGGTACCAAAACAAAAAGCTGTGACAATGGGGGTAAACCAAAGGAAAAATAAAAAATGAAATAAAAAAAATCACTGCATATTATATACTAAGAAAAAAAACCACTTGTTTCCATATCTTGTAGTTTATTTTGATTGGCATCATTTTGTAAGATCAAGTACATATTTGAGCTATTGTGGTCTTCTGCTAGGATTATCCTAGACATATATTAATTATTATATATGAGGGAAACCAGGCAGCCTATGTTTCTTTGGGTCTAGCTTACTTCACTTAATAGGATTTTTTCAAACTCTTTCCATTTCCTTATGAATGGAGCAACCCCAAACATTTGTCTACCATATAATTTTTGTTTTAAAAAACAATTTGGATTCTGTGTAATCCTATTCTTTACATCTTTCACATGTGGCTTTAGGTATCTTCTACCATTTAGTTTAGGTATTTCTGTCTTTATGATGTGAAACATTTTATCATCAGCTTCTTCTTACTCTTACATACTAAGATAAAACATAAAGCTGTATATTTTTTTTAGCATTATCAATGCCATTTATACCCATCTTATATTGCTTGGAACTTTTGCTCTGAAAAGAGAAGCATTGTAGTCATAAACGGATATGTTGAACTGAAATCCCTTTGTGCACTTAAGGATTATAAGAATATTAAAAAATTAATAAGAAAAATATTTGTTAAAATTTTATGGTTTGTGATTATGTAGGTATTTAATATACTTTTGATTTTCAAGTAGTCCAGGAGAAGGGGTTATTAACTGATGTCTATAAAGCTAAGTTCAACTGTTTCTTGTGTTTTTCTTTCCTTTAGACTTTTTAAAAGCAACAAAGTCAATTTAGAGTTTTTCTTTTTAGCTTTTATTGACTTTTCCAGTAGACAGACTAGTAATGGGGTTGCCATTGCTGGGGAGGTGAGGAGAGAAACACTTTGATTTCTGAATTGAAGAGTTGAAAAGAATTCAGAGAACATTGAAGAGGATGAGAAACTTCTTTACTGGCGATTACTGAATAGTTAGGAAGAGTGAATAAGTGAGACCTGGTAGCTTCACTTTCCTCTTAGCTTTTCAGTTGCAAGGTAGTTGAGGAAATACCCTACAGAGATTAACAGCAAGGCATGTAGAGCCTAACAGCTGTTTGCATCTGTTTTATCATTCAGTTGATATAGATACTTGAGTATCTTCATTTATCTTAGACTTTCTGTTTTGAAAATGGACATATTGAAAATGACAAACCTTAAGAATTATTATGAGAGTTAAATTATGAAAAATTCTTCTTAGCTTGTGAAATTATGTAATAATTAGATAGCCTCTCACACTGCTGTCTTCACTACTGTAATAACTGTCATTACAGGACTACTGATATTCAGAGTAGCCCTAAAAGTGAGATCCTGTCTCAAAAATAACCAAACCTTAAGAGCTAAAGGTGTGGCTCAAGTGGTAGAGTATTGGTCCAGCAGGCCCTGAAGCCCCAACTCCAAACCCTACAGTATTAGCACCCCCTCCAAAGGTAGAACTATTGAGAATATTATTACTATGAGAAAAAAAAGCATGTTTTTGGAAAATTTTAGTGCCAATCCTTTACTGCTTTGTTAAGTAGTTATAATGTGGATAATTATGACTTAGACTTAGTTATAAGTAGCTTGGTGATTTAGAATCATTTAAAAATAGATACATTATAGATAGGTAATGCAGTTATTTCAATGGAATTATTTTGAGGGACTTTGTACCCCTGGGACTTTCTTGAATAATTCCTTATTTTTTTCTTTTTGTTGATTGTAGGGCTTGAACTCAGGCCTGTATGCTCTCTTGAGAGCATGATGAGACTGATGTTCTCTGAGCCACAGCTCCACTTCTGGTTTTCTGGTAGTTAATTAGAGATAAGAGTCTTAGGAACTTCCTGTGTGGGCTGGGTTTGGCACATGATCCTCATATCTCAGCCTCCTGAGTAGCGAGGTGTGAGCCATCAGCATCCAGCTAAATAATTATTGCTTTTAATTAATTTTTGTCCTGTGTTTTTAAATTCACATTGTGTTACTTTCTTGAAATGATCATATTTGCCATTCATATTTAGGCTATACTACTTGCCTTTGACTGATCTGCCTTTTAGTTTAGTGGTTGGAATTCATTTATTCCATTTCCGGTAGACTTTAACGAGGTTTGTTAGAATCAGCCCTGATGTCAGGATAGAACTGAAAAACAAAACAAAACAAAACTTTTTTTTCAATGAAACATCTTCACTTTTTTTTTTTCAGAGCTTTAGGTAATGTTTTATATTTTTCTAGAAAATCTTTTTGGGTATAGAAAGTAATATGCTAGAAATTGGTGTTACCATTATGTTATTTTTCTATGGTATATTTTCTTTCTTTTATTGTAAAGATGCTATACAGAGGGGTTACAGTTACATGAGTAAGGCAATGAGTACATTACTTGTTGATTATTGTTACCCCTTCCCTCCCCCACCTCCCACATTCCTCTTCTCCCCCATTCCCCCCAACCCCTGCCCAAAGTTGTAAAGTTCATTTCCAATACATTGTCCTGTGTGTATCCTTGTTGCAATGGGTCATCCTGTGTCCTTGTTTCAGCGTTTTGTTATTCCCCTTCCCCTCCCCAGACTAGACATAAGTATATACAAGATGCAGGGTGCCAAAATTAAGTACAGTGACAACAGGGGATATTCCATAGGGGAAAGAACATGCAAAGAAAACAAGAACAACAAAAAAAAATAAAGTCACACGGTACATTTAAAACAAGAACAATAAAGACAGACCTCTTGTGTGGTATATATACAATGGAATTCTGTGCTTCCATCAGGAAGAACGACACCACCTCATTTGTTAGGAAATGGAAAGACTTGGAAAAAAATCCTATTAAGTGAAGTAACTCAGAAATTTAGGTCTCATGGTTTCCCTTATTTGCAATAATTAGTATACATATAGGATAATTTTTATCAGATGAGCTGAAAAGCTCAAAAGCCATGTACAAATGGTCATATAAGATGATGCTTTGTTAGGAAATGGAAAGACTTGGAAAAAATTATATTAAGTGAAGTAAGCCAGGCCCAAAGAAACATAGGTCCCATGGTTTCCCTTATTTGCGATAACTAGTATATGTCTGAGTCAAGCAGAAAAGATCAGATAAGTTGATGTTAGGGAAATGAACCCTAAGATATGTATTCAAATGTTTTTCTTTGTTTTTTTTCCTTTCATGCAATTGTTTCTAACATATTTATAAGATTATTTCTTTGTTGCTGTGTATGTCCCTCCTCCACAGTATAACCATGCTTTCACTGTATTTGATGTTGGTATAATTTGTGGAGGGGAAGGGTAAAAACAAATCATTTAACTAGGGATACAGGTGGACCCATTGCAACAATGAGATGTACAAGTCGTTATGTCGAAAAACAAACTTTACAGCTTTGGTGGAGGGTGGGGGGAGGATCAGGTGGGAGGAGGAGGGGAGTATGGGAAGGGATAGGACGGGGAAACAAAGAGGAGGCAACAATGCTTGGTAAGAAATGTACTCGTTATCTTGCCCATGTAATTGTAACTCCTCTGTATGGTATTCTCGCAATAAAAAAAAAAAAAAGATGATGCTAAATGAAATGAACCCCAAGATATGGACACATCTTCACATTTTGATCTGTTATTGCAGGATTCATGCTTGAACCAGATCCAGAGCATAGACCTGATATATTTCAGGTGTCTTATTTTGCATTTAAGCTTGCCAAAAAGGATTGTCCAGTCTCCAATATCAATGTAAGTATTTTTGAAAGTACTATATGAATGTAAAACCCATTTTATAACACGCAGTTAGAGTAATCTCATATTGTTTTTGTGACTGTAGTTTTGGTGTAAAGACACATTTTCCAAACTGTTCCTCAAGGTACTCTGGAGAGCTACAACACACGGCTCCCGCTGGAAATTTTGACAGAAATATAGTGACATGTATCTGTTAGGGCATATGATATTTTTATTAAGTGTTTAGTCCTAACCATTTAATAAGCAAGATAATTAATTTGGGGATTTTTTTTAAAACTCTGGAGGTATGGTGAAAAATTCCTGAGACAGACAAAAGGCATTAAGTTCAATGAGAAAATTGGGGTTTTTTGGTTTAACTAGTGTAATGATGTAAATGGAAATACCTGAGTTCAATTTCCACCTTTACTGGTAACTGATTTTCTGTCTTTTAGAAGGTTAATATCCATTTTCCTAGGAAAATAAGGATAATAATAATTATAAAAATTGCAAGTAATGTAATCTTCTATGGACCATAAAGATGTTCAAAGACTTTGATTCACTTTCTACAGTGTACATGAACTACTTCAGATAAACTGTGTATGGCAAATATTTGCTAATTCTAATAAAGATGGCTAGAATCATCATTGGTTTCAAGCTGTTTTCTACTTTGTAAGACTCATTCTAGCCTCACTTGTTCTTACATGTTTTCTTTATATCTTAATATGCGTACTTATAAAAGGAAGGAAGCCAGGCACTGGTGGCTCACGCCTGTAATCCTAGCTACTTAGGAGGCTCATGAGGATCATGGTTCCAAGCCAGCCTGGGCAGGAAAGTCCATGAGACTCTTTATCTCCAATAAACCACTAGAAAACCGGAAGTGGTGCTATGGCTCAAGTGGTAGAGCGCTAGCCTTGAGCTGAAGAACGCAGGGACAGTGCCCAAGCCCAGAGTTCAAGCCCCACGATGGACCAAAAAATAAAAAGAAAAGGAAGGAATGTGTTTTCTCTTTTTTAAACCCTTATAATATTTAATTTATTTTGTTTTCCCAAGGTTTAACTCATTTGTTAATTGTATACAATGATGTTCTTCTGTTTATTTTACAAAGATGCATATAATTTAAAAACAATGCAATTAAAATAAAAACTAAGTGAAAAGTTTTGTTTTCTTCCAAGAATTCCTCTATTCCTTCAGCTCTTCCTGAACCGATGACTGCTAGTGAAGCAGCTGCTAGGAAAAGCCAAATGAAAGCCAGGTAGGCTTTAAATTGAAAATGTATTTAAAAAAAAAAAAAAAAAACCCAGGTGACATCCTCATTGGTAAAATATCATCCTCACTGCCAAAAATTGTGTGTGGCTTAGTGAATGTGTTGGTTATAGATTGTGTAAATCAGATATTCAGACAGGGAAAGTGACCTTTGTGAAACTTAAGAGCTAGAGCATAAGACAGGAGTGAGTGGTGAGGAAATGAAGCCTGAATGATAGGTAAATGTGTCTCAAGCAATATCATGTTGACAAATTTGGATATTGATCATTTTTCCCCCCAGTCCTGGGCCTTTAACTCAGGGCCTGGGCTCTGTCCCTGAGGCTCTCTATGCTCAATGCTAGAGCTCTACCACTTGAGCCACCGTCACTTCTGGCTTTTTCTGTTTATGTGGTACTGAGAATAGAACCCAGGGCTTCATGAATGCTAGCATGCACTCTACCACTAAGCCACATTCCCAGTCCAGGATATTGATCTATATGTCAGTGAATTTTCCAACAGCTCTGCTGTTTGGGATTCAGTTATGATGTGTGTTATAAATGATCAGCTGTTACATTTTTTGTTAAAATACTGTGAGTGACTTTTGAAGAAAATAAAAACCCAGCACCTTTATTCACTTGAATTTCAGACTGTTTTGTTGTGAAAGAGGTGGATGAAAATAGTTATATCTAATGTTTAGGAATTCAGCATGACCACTAATGTGTCTCATCTATGAGGAGCTTTAATTAGAAGCAGCTGTTTGGGTTATGCAGTAGTTATAAATTATTATAAGACTTAATCGTTGAATTTTATTTTTTTCAGTTTGTCAATTCTTTAGAAATAGATGCTGATATAAAAATTAATCAACTGAGCAAAAGGAATGATTTGAGTATCTTCACTATTTTATAGTTATAACTTGTTATAACTATGTTATAGTTATAATGTTATAGTGATGCAGTTATAAGAAATGAAATAGTGCCATCAAAATGTGCAGTGCTTACCTCTTTATAAAAACATTATGTGGATGGGTGAGAGTGGCTCACTCCTGTAATTTTTGCTCCTCAGGAGGATTGTGGTTTAGAGCCAGCCTTGACAGGAAAGTCTGTGAAACTCTGATCTCCAATTAACTATCAAAGAGCCAGAAGTAGAGCTGTGGGGTAGAACATAACCTTGAGGGAAAAAGCTCAGGGACAACTCCCAGGGTCTGAGTTCAAATCTCAAGACAGGTGTAAGAAACAAAACAAAACACAAAAACATACAATATATATTTATCAAAGCATACATAGTACTTCATTAATATGTACAATTTTTGTGTGCCAATTTTGTAGAATTTCAGTGCATTTCTGTAATATGTAAAATCTGTTATATATGAAAATATAAGATTGGTTGGTACTTATTGGCCATTAAGATAAATTTATTGTATATTTAAATGTACAAACTTTAGTATTGCAATTAAAGTTTTTTTTCATGTAAAAGGCAGATAAATCTCTAATAGCTGGTTTCATCACTCAGAAAAGGCCTTTATGGGTGCTTCCCAGCTGTCTTTGACACTTATTTGCTTTACATCTCAAAACCTACTCTGCCTCCCCAAATTTGCCTGTGTTCTTGGACTGTTAATATGTTACGCTAGGTATGGTGGCTCATAATTATAATCCTAGCTGTTTGGGAGACAGCTATTTGGAGGGTTACACTTTAAAGCTACCATGATTAAAGTTAGTGAGACTCCATCTCAACTAATAGCTGAGCATGGTGGCTTATGTCATCCCAGTTATATAGGAAACCTAAAATTGGAGGATTGTAGTCTTGGTTAGCTTGAGCATAATGCTAGACCCTTTTTCCCAAAGAACTAAATCAAAAAGAACTTGGAGGATGGCTCAGATGGTAGAGTACCTGCTTAACAAGCATGAAGCCCCAAGTGTAAACCCCAGTGTCACCCCCAAGCTCCTCCCCCTAACAACAACAACAACAAAACTCAAACATGTGTTAGTTAACTGACTTAGTTGCTTTAAAAATGGAAATTGTTGAAGCTGGGTGCTGGTGGCTCACACCTGTAAACCTAGCTACTCAGGAGGCTGATATCTGAGGATCATGCTTCATAGCCAGCCCAGGCAGGAAACTTTGTGAGACACTTATCTCCAATTAACCACCAGAAAACCGGGAGTGGTGCTGTGGCTCAAGCCTTGAGCTGAATTGCTGAGGGACAGCATCCAGGCCCATAGTTCAAGCTCCACAACTGACAAAAAACAAAAAATAACACACACACACACACACACACACAGAATTGCTGAGGGACAGCATCCAGGCCCATAGTTCAAGCTCCACAACTGACAAAAAACAAAAAATAACACACACACACACACACACACACACACACACACACACAAGATGGAAGTGTTGTGAGTCACTGCCCTGACAAAAAATAACACACACACACACACACACACACACACCACACACACACACACACACACACACACACACACACACAAAAGATGGAAGTGTTGTGAGTCACTGCCCTGACATAGGGAAGTGTTGAAGGAGGATTTTAAGCCAGAATCTGAGAATCTGAGTCTTAGGAAGATTATTCAGGTGATGGGAGGGAAGCTCTACTGTGTACTGTGGATCATGGTGGTGAAGGTAAGGCAGTGCAGCTGTGTCCATGCAACTGTTACAGTTGGCTGATTTAGGCAATTTTGTGTCATCACTTTGTCTAGCCATTTTCTTCCAGTTATTTATATGGAAAATGCTTGGTTTTATTATTTTTATATTTTATATTATTATAATGAGGTAATCTTTATTTAAAATTTTCTTTTTTTTCTTTAGACTTCAAGTTTTATTCTTTCCATTATTCTTCCACATAACATAATTAATGTTTCACTGTCTCTTCTCTGAGTTAGTTTGTAGTAGGATTAATTTGATTTAAGTGTTTTGGAGGGGAAGATTTTTTCAATTTTGTTTTATTGTGGTAACATACATATAACCTACCATTTACTGTCTGAAAAATTTATTATTTTTATTTTTTATTTTTTTTTTGTCCAGAAGTTTATTTTTTTATTTTTTTTGTATCAATTTTTTTTTATTGTGAAAGTACTGTACAGAGGGGTTACAATTACATGGGCAAGATAATGAGTACATTTCTTATCAAGCATTGTAGCCTCCTCCTTTGTTTCCCCTTCCCCGCCCCCACCCAATCCTCTCCGCTCAACAACCCCCCCCCCCCCCCCCCACACACACCAAAGTAAAATTTTCTATCTCTAGTTTTTATCTGAATCATTCTTAAGTCAAGTTAAAGTAGAATCTATGAAATTTGTGAAGGTGTTAGCTTGGCACTAGTTAATTTTACTGTTACATATTTTGTTGTACTTTTACCAACATGTGCCATGTTTTCCTAATTAAGTATATGATACATTTTTTGATAATAGAGTATCACACACTATTTTACTAGATATTTCATTGTATAAGAGATACTATTACTTTGGTAAAATAAATTAGTCTTTTAGAATTTTAATATGCATTTTAGAGCTTTTGTGGTGTGTGTGTGTGTGTGTGTGAGAACATGGCAAGGTCATTTCTGACTTTTATTACACTAATAAAAAAGAATAAACAGAAAGATTATATCTTCCTGATTACTTAGGCTTAGGGTGTAAGTGATTGGTTTTAATACCATATTTCATAATTGAATGTACAAATACTTAATTTTCATTAAAATAAGATCTAATTGAGTATATGTATAAATGGTCTTTTATGATCTTAATTCAAATTTTATGACTCATACCATATCCCTCTCATTCCAAACATGTATTTTTTTAGGAGGTAACACATATACAATATATTGCCACAATTGAAAGTGTTTTGATTCGTTTTTTTTTTCTTTCCTTTTAGAAAAGTTAACTGTTAAAAAAAAAAAAAAGAAAAAAAGAAAAGTTAATTGTTAGCAGAGCTCCCTCTTGTGTTACTTATAAGAAAAGAACTGGCTATATGCAGTTGTAGGTTGGGTTTTTTTCCAAGTACAATAACTATACACTTGATAAATAAGATGTATGTTAAAATGTTAAGTATTAAATCACTTGAAAAATTTTCAAAGGAATTTATTTAAAGAGATTTTATGGTAAATTCTCTCTACATTGAACATTTGACCCTATTAAAAAATTTGTGGTTTTTTTTTAACTGAATTTTTAGAAACCAAATGTGATAAATATATGTTAAAGATTTTCCTTTTCTCTTTTTTATTTAAAAGAAAAGCAAAAGTCTGTGTCTTCTTGAATTACATAATCTGTTCCTTGCTTCCAAAAATGTGTATTCATGTTGCCTAAACTAAGTCCTTGTGGGAAAGATTTTATATAATATCTATTCAGTGTTGTAAGTTAAAACAAAGATTCAAGAAGTTTAACATGCGCAAATGGCTCCATCTGGTAAAAATATGTTTTGTTTTTATTCTTTAGAGCACAGTATTTTCCTTCTCATGCCTTGTTTTTCTTTAGTGACCTGAGTCTTGATTTTGTCTGAAGGCTTATAAGAAAATTTGTTTATTTCCTTCCGATCTCATTTTATTGCCTAGCAGCAATATTTAGTATTATGGCAGACTTGAATGGTAACGTACTGTTTTAAGAAATATGATTAGTTTTAATACTATTTTTTGACTTTCCTATCTTCATTACACATTTACCTTTAGAGTGAGATGTAGGAGGGAGTCAAGAGGACTAATCTGATTGTCTGTAATTATTAAATTCATCTGTTGAAATATATACTTTATAATAGTACATTAGAAATAATCCCAATATTTAGAATGAGATGTATTCTTCTATTGTAGAATAACAGATACCATTGGACCAACAGAAACCTCAATTGCACCAAGACAAAGACCAAAGGCCTACTCTACTACTAGTAGTGTGTTGACCATACAGAGTTCAACAACACCTGTTAAAGTCCCTGTTCCTGGTGAATTCAGTAACCACAGACCAAAAGGTAATACAGACATTTCAATCCTATCCTCATTATAATAATCTCTTCATGGTTTGATTTCTTAGGAGCACAGATTACCAGCAAATCAATTTTGTTTTGATACTGGAGTTTGACATTCAGGGCCTCAACTTGCTAGGCCAACACTCTTAATGCAAAGACTTGCCTTCAGCCCTTTTTCGCACTGGTTATTTTTGAGATGGTGTCTTGCTTCCTGCCCTGATATGCACCTGGTGTGCACCTGAGATTATCCTATTTTTCACTTCCTGCCATAGTTGGGATGTGCATGTCACCATGCCCAACAATTGGCTGTAAAAGGGGTATTGTGAACTTTCCCCTAGCCTCCCAAGTAACTAGATTTACAGGTGTGAGCCACACAAGTCAGTTTAGCATACTTAATATTGTAAAGCAGATAAAGCTTCAAGTTACAGTTTACTGATGTCTAATCAAGTTGTTTAGTTTTGAATTGGTTGCTTTGTAGCCAAGATTATGGCAGGTGTTTTTTTAAATAATTAAATCAACGGATATATAATGAAAATGTACTGTGTGGTAGTTACAAAGTCAGTGGTCAAAATACTGACAACCTTGACCTCCCTACTGAAACCTATATATTGTGAAAGTTGGGAATATAATAAGAGAAGACTCTTACCTTTGACAATAAATTTCTTTCAATATAAATCCTCAAGGTTTAAACACATATACTATCTTATCTGTGTAGAGAATGTGATTCTCAGTGGGTATGTGGATTATAGATTAGTTGAGCTCTAATCATGTGTCTGATCCTCTCTATCTGTACTTACTTGACTTGTTGATGAATTCATTTAATTTCTACAAGTCTCAGTTTTATCATTTGCAAATGGGGAATAATGATATGAATATTTATGACTCATTATTTTTAGGTAAATTGTATGATTATGTTTGACGTTCTCTGGTATTCTATTGCTTTGGTTTGAAGGTCAAGGAGCTCTCCTGCCTGACAGTATTAGTTATTCTATGATTATATTTGGGTTATGTTTAGGCTCTAGCATTCAGGTAGTTACTAAGGCTATGACACATAGATGTGTATCTGAGGAATCTAATTTCTAGATACGCTTCCAACTGAAAAATTTAAAAGCTAATGTTGATTATGCCTGTGTTATGGGACTATGATTTTTAGTTTCATCCTTACATTTTTATAAATATTTTAAAGAACCATTAAAATGGGCATACCTTTTTCTTATAACTTGAAGAGTTAAAAATAGAAAACTTTTCATAGTTTTGGTTTGGAAATACTAACATTTTGATGGAAAAAAGAATCCTTTCCTCTTTGCATGCTCTTCCTTTTTCTCTTCGCTCTTTAGGATTAAAGAGTCTTGTATTTCAGTGGATTTTCCATCAATATAACAAAATGTCTAAGACAGTATATAGGAGGAAAAGCTTTATTTTGGCTCACAGTTTTAGGGGTTCTAGTCCATGATTGGGTAGACCCATGTTGTTTAGGTCTGTAGTAGAGGAAGGGCAGGGAGTGCCAGGAAAGTGGAAGAGGGATGGACCATGGTCCCACAATCTCCTTCAAGGACAAAACACAGTGTTCCAAGGATCTTCCATGAAGCTCCATCTGCTAAAGCTATCCATTACCTCTTTGTACTCCCACCCACAGTACCTGAGTGGAGTACCTTAAACATCCAAATTATAGCAGTTGTGTTTAAATTGAGCTTACATTATTGGAAGTGAACAAAGATATTTTAATGTTTTAGTGTATTGCTCTTCCTCTTTTTTGATGTTGTATAGCTGTTTTAGCTGATTTCAGAAGTTTTAATAGAATTTTCCTAGGGTTAAAATTTGTAGAGGTTGAAGTAAATGTGTATTTAGAGGAAAGCATTTAGTTAGCATCTTTGATATAAAAGGCTCTTTGTGGTTGTCCTAGATAAATAAGACATGACCTCAGGATTCCTGGTTAGGAAATAGCTATCTAAGCCAATGATACACATAGGATTTAATGCAATGTAATAAATTGAGTGATTCTTAGATGAAAGAATAGGAAAGAGTTCAGCAGGTGCAAAGTGGCATTCTAGATTGAGTTCTGTTCTTAAGGGTACTTGATAATAGTGGACAGGTATAGAACACACTCTTGTGGCTTGTGTGTTCATGGATTTGTTCACAATTGTAGATGATAAACACACACACACATTCATACACAAATTAGGGATGTGCTTTTACAGCAACATCTGTGTGAACTTGAACCTCTCCCCCAACTGCAGTAATGATACGATTTAGTTTCCTAGACACTTGTAATTAAGGTAAATAATTCCTTTAGGGTATATGCACATAGGATATGTGATAAGGTGATGAAGTTGTGTTAAAGTATGAATATAGATGCCTTAGTTGGATAAATGTTGAAGCTTAGTCATTTTATTGAAATCTTTAGTGTGTTAGTATTAAGTTTTTGGAAATCTATCACAGGAGCAATGAGACCTGGAAATAGTCCTGAAATGTTACTGGGTCAGGGGCTCCCTCAGCAGCCTCCACAGCAGCATAGAGTACTTCAACAACTACAACAGGGAGATTGGAGATTACAGCAACTTCAGTTGGAGCATCCCCAACCTCACCAGCAGCAGCAGCAGCAGCAACAGCAGCTACTTCAGGATGCTTATATGCAGCAGGTAGTTCTTTTGTATCCTCTACTTTACAATGCATGTATGTAGCAGGTGGTTCTTTTGTTACTGTACAAATGGAAGCAATATGGTCAATTCATGAGCCAATTGAATTTGCTTTCTATTCATGTGCACCTTGAACTGACTTCAACTAAACATTTCCCCTAGTTTCCTGATTATTAAAGAGAATGTAGTTAATTGTTATTTGATGAGACAGTTAAACACAGTGTTAAAATAGGTTACATCATAGCCTTATGAAGCAAAGAATGTTCATCTAATTATTTGATATCCAGCATGAAGTACTGCAGTTTATGATGAATATTACCTATTTTATGTTATAACTTGAGTTCACAGATTAATAATACTTTTGTAAAAAAAATCTTTTCAGAAATAACTTTATCTTTGATATTTGCTAGATAGATTTTTTTAATTGTTTTGACTGGATTGGCCTTGGGGCAAGAAGAGAAACATTCAGAGTTGGAAAGAACACAGAATAAACGTGACCTTAAGTTCTGTGCTGGCCTTTGCCTTCTGGTTTCATTCAACTTAGTGAACTAAAGTGAATTAATACTATCATTTTATAACTGCATGAAATATTTTAACCTAACATTTATGCATGATCAATACTTAAAATTGGTAGGCATTAAAAAACTGTGAATAATACTGATTAGTTTTTTTCCCCTCTCAATATAGTATCAACATGCAGTGCAGCAGCAACAGATACTGCAGCAACAGTTTTTAATGCATTCAGTATATCAGCCACAACCTCCTGCATCACAGTATACCACAATGGTATGTAGAGTGTAATTTCTAGAGATTGCTTTCAAGGTGTGCAGTATAGGGTTGGAAGTATGAATGGTACTAATTAGAATTGAGTAATTCAAAATCAATTTAAGTTAGTTAATATACATGTATTTTATTGAAGCCAGTATATATTCTCAAGCAGCTTTAGTTTGTGCTGAACTATGGCATCTAAATATGGCACATGGTAATTAATAGATAATATATATGAAAAGTGATCTGTACCAGCGATGTTTTGCTGTACTGTATATCTCTTTCATTCAGCAAATACCTGTTGAGTAACAGTGAAATCCCAAGAGAGAGTATATTTGCTTCAGACCATCATATTAGTATGTTTAAGCTACTCTCTTTTCTTTCTGTAAAATACTTAAAGGAGGAATTTTTTTTTTGGGGGGGTCCAGTTGTGGGCCTGAACTCTGGGCCTGGGCGCTGTCCCTCAGCTCTTCAGCTCAAGGCTAGCGCTCTACCACTTGAGCCACAGCGTCACTTCCAGCTTTTTTCTTTTTGCTTATGTGGTGCTTAGGAATCGAACCCAGGGCCTCAAGCATGCAAGGCAAGCGCTCTACCACTGAGCCATCTTCCCAGCCCACATAAAGGAGGAATTTTTATCTGATCAAGTGAGTCTGTTTTGTATCATTAGTGGACAAAATTCATCCTGTTATAGTTTTCTAGTAACAACCTGTTCCTTCAAATATGCATTTTTTTCTGCTTCCCAATGAATGTGAAAAGGAAGGAGCATAGTATAAATAGATACAGTGCTGTCAGTACTTCAGTGATTGGATTATTGATGTGTATATTGCTGTTTCTTATTTCAGATGCAGCAGTATCAGCAAGCTTTTTTACAACAACAGATGCTAACTCAGCGCCAGCAGTCTCAACACCAAGCATCACCTGAATATCTTACATCCCCTCAAGACTTCTCACCAGCCTTAGTCTCCTATGCCTCATCACTTCCAGGTCAGGTTGGAACCATGGACTCCACTTACAGTACCAGTAGGCAAGTATTTTTCCAGTGAATGCAAGTGGACGTGGATGTAATTGATGTGTGGAATCATGAAATGGTTCTTGAATAAATTTTGAGTTATTTTGTTATAGAGCCACCTTTTCCCCCCTAGTCCTGTCTATGTTTCCTTACCCTTCATTCCATTCCCATTTGTTAGTTCTGCTTTGCTGACAAGGCTTAGCATCTTCTAGGAGCATTTATAATTAAGGGAATTATTAGCATATATGAAAAGACATTTTTAGTAACTTACTATAAACAAAATCTTAATGAGCTACTTTAATAGTTAAAAAGAAGTAACCTTGTAAAAGGTTAATTATTTCTAGCTATATGCTAATCATTTTAATTGATTTGACTACTTGTAAAGTTTCTGTAATTTGGTTTAAGCAAGGGCTTTAAAAAATATGTAGTAAAAATATGTATAGTGACAATAATATAGTGCTGCCAAGGGGAAAGTGAATTTAAAGGAGGTAAGGCTTGTAAAATTGAGATCTTTCTTTGAACATGGAGATTCTTCCTCCATTGTCCATGGAGAGTATATCTGGATTTCAATATGAGAAGAAGTTGACAGCTTTGTTTCTTCACCTCATTTCTGTGCTGTGTTTTCAGAGTGAATTGAGGGAGAGACAACTAGAACTCCTGAGCTAAGTTTTTAGGCTCACGTCTTACCTCAGAAGCTAAGAGGCTTATCTAAGATAACTCTCATAGAGCAAGTAGTCTAAGGCTTCAGATCATAGATACTGTGAGTAATTTTATAACATATATACCAGATAACCTTCATTTACTTAGTTCCATGAAGGAAGGAATGTCTTTTTTGTAAGACATTTTCATATAACCAGGATGTATGATGTATAATCTCTGTACAGTATTAATAGGGACTGTGGAGTATGGTAACTGATGGTCACTTTAAGACTTGTCCTCTTGAGAATGTTAATATATGTGGAGTGCTTGCTTTTTTTAAAACCATGTATTAAATCATTTAAACACTTCTGTAGCTTTATAATATAGATACTGTCACCCCTTTATTAGAGGCAATGAGCTGAGGCATAGAAAGGAGTTAAGGAACACACCAATATATTTTAGTTAGACGGTTACAAAGCTAGTAGCGTGCTTTTATACTCAGATCCCAAGGTTTCTTTCTCTCTATCCCAGCCATCTCCACTATAATAAAATGTGGTTTTCTAAATGTGAACTGGGAAGCTGAGGTTTCCTTAATTGTAATGTGGTTTTTCTTTCTTTTTTCCTCCTCAATTATTCTAGTAGATCAATTGCTGAAAAAGAAGCAGTGGCAACTTTTACAGATCAGAAGAGCATCAGTAACCCACCTGATATGTCAGGGTGGAATCCTTTTGGAGAAGATAATTTTTCCAATTTAACAGAAGAGGAACTTTTGGACAGAGAATTTGACCTTCTAAGATCAAGTAAGGGACACTTGAAGGCTTATTTTGCTTCACAGTAGAATAGCAACTTTATAATTATTCAGCAAGGCCAAAGACTATCTTGAGGGGTATATAGAAAATGCTCTTTGTACATTTGAGGGCAAAATTCAGGCCCTCTTTTTTCATATATATATATATATATATATATATATATATATATATACACACACACACACACACACACACACACACACACACACACACAGGTTGTGTATATTAGAAATTAGTTGCTTGGTAGTAGCTCTTAAGCTCAAGATTCCTGATAGTATACTGATATCCTAACACTTAAATACTGCATTTCTATGAATGTTAAATTCAGAATATCTCTGAAACATGGAAAATTAATGTCCAAGCAAAAAGAGAGACCGTAGTTTATTGCCTTACTAATCATTTTGCAGCTATTTTCTTGCACACTTGATAGAAAAGATTGTGGGTCTGAGTTGCCCTTTGAAAATGCCTGAAAAAAAAAATGTGGGTTACTACATTATGTTAATGCATTGTAATGTCCTTTTAATGAGTGGTAATATAAAGGGCTGCTTTGTTGTCTGCTATGGCAAAAGTTAAATAAATTCTTTTCCACTTTAAATCAGATATCTCAATGTTTTTACTTCATTGCCTTTTCTGAAACTACTTACTATATATGTCAAACCTCACCACACCTATTTTGGAAATGTTCTCTTTAGGAAGATAGTTCGTAAAGTAGGAGCAAAAGCTCACTTTGAAGTGAGGCAGTGTTCAGGTTTCTGAGGTTTAGTGTGTATATGTGTGAATGTGCAGGTGTGTGCATACACACGTATGTTTTATCCTTTCTGTATGTGAAAAGAAAATATCAGTAGTCCCCATTTTCTAATTTTGATTTTATTTAGGTTACTGGCTTTATGAATGCCTTTAGTGGTTGAAATGCTTTGTTCTGAATTGGTATATATTTTATGTGAAATTTATAAATGGCCGACATTCACGTTAAGAATAGTTTCAATTTGTATTTTAAATTTGTATTTTACATATTAGCTATGCATTATGGAAATTAATTTTATTATTGAATATAGATATAGAAATGAGTTTTGAGCCTTTAATAAAGCTTTGTTAACTTTGGTAAGACCGATTACATCCTATTAAAAAGATATTTTTCTAAACCACAACTTTTGTTTGGCCTTTTTCCTAGAATTTACATGAAATAGTCCTAAAAACAGATTTTAAGAAAGGAAATAAAGTTTGTCTTTTCTTTTGAAAGGACAGAAAGGAGTAGCCAAATTATAACAATTTATATGATTATTTTAAAAGCAAAAGTATTACTTTTAATGTGTACTTTCAAGTTTTTGGTAAATCAGTATTTGTCCTTCTATAGTAAAACCAAACAACAAAAATATCAAATCTTTTTTTTCTTTAAGAAAAATAAACTTAGGATAGGCAAATGATTCTCATTATTTTGTACCTTATAAAAAGTGTTATTCTAAACATTTAGAATATATAAGTTTTATTTATTTGGCATAGATGAGAATGGCATGTATATATGTCTGCATGTATAAATTCATAAAAATTCGAGTTTAGCTTGTAAAATTTTGAACCAGCGATTTATTTTCAAACTTCAAGTTTAGATAGAATGTAGTTCTCTCATGGGTTGTACACATGTGTGTGCCACAGATTATGTACATTTCATGCCATTATTAATTATAGAGTGCTATTAGGTTCCCAATGAAAGTGTAAGAACAACTTTATGTGAATGTCAGACTTTCAACATTGGAAACCTCTGCTATTTGGAAAAATCATCTAAATGGCTACTGAAATGACTGAAATTTAGTTACTGAAATTATTACTTCAATTTTTTTGTACTGCATTCAGTACCAGAAAACATGAATTCTATTCCAATAATAGCATTTAACTGGGTAGTAATCTCAGTCACTCAGCTGCTGTTAATCTTTATCTTGTGCAAACATTGAGATAGATACAGATGATGCATATCTCAAAGTTTCAGGAAAACAATAAATGATGTCTTTAGTCAGAAAAAAATGCACTTTTAAAAAAATTTTTTATTGTAAAAATATTGTTACAGAGGGGTTACAGTTACATGAGTAAGGTAATGAGTGCATTTCTTATCGAGCATTGTTACCTTCTCCGGTGTTTTTCCCCTACTATATCTGTCCATTCCGCCCCCCTTCCCGGTTGTAAAGTTCGTTTTCAACATAGTGTCCAGTTTCTTAATTTCTTAATGTTAAGCTTTTAGACTCTGATATAGGAGGTCTTTGGTGGGACATACAAAAGTTCTGCATCAGGTTTCTCAGCTGGTTAGTTAAAAACAAATTGGCTTTTTGGTCAAAGAACAACAGCAGAAGAGACAAATTAAAGTGAGGAAGTAGGTGGAAAAGTGTCTTTATCTCCTAATATTAAATAGCTGTTGTAATAGGCTTCAAAGAAAGCATAATATGTTTAATAAAATTTATGAAGAATCGATAAGGTATAGAACGTAGTTGAGAAACCATTTCCCGTTAGTAATTGAAATATTTAGTCATCTTTAGTATTTCTTTAGATCTATTTGATCTATATGATAGAGTTTAAATTAAAATTGGCAAAAATCCTCTTGTAGAACCTTAAGAATTTTAGTAGAAGACTAACAATGTAGTAAAAATTGATAGTTGGTCATTACAGGTTGGTTCCTCTCTCCCCAACAACTATTTTCCAAAATGAATAAAATTGTCATTGCATTTAAAATGCCCAAAATGTTTACATTTCTTCTTGGCACATATTTATTAAGAATGTTCAAAAATGTTAAAAATTGGGGTTGGGAAGGTGGCTCAGGGGTAGAGTGCTTGCCTTGCATGCATGAGGCCCTGGGTTCGATTCCTCAGCACCACATAAGAAAAAAGAAAAAAAGCCGGAAGTGACGCTGTGGCTCAAGTGGTAGAGCGCGAGCCTTGAGCTGAAGAGCTGAGGGACAGTGCCCAGCCCCAGAGTTCAGGCCCCACGACCGGGACCCCCCCCCCCCAAAAAAAAAAGTTAAAATTTTTATATTTGGTTTATTAAGTGTTTTTTAATGACAGACTAAAGACCTTCATGTATACCTTAAGAATATAGACATTGTCTGTGTAATGGTGTAATAGTTTCAAAGGGATCATAGAATAATACACTGCTATATGAGATTTTACTTTTAAAATGATATGTAGTTATTTTTTTTAAAGGAAAAAGGAATTGCAGCCTAGGAAGAAATATATTACTTTGAGTGTATTATCCAGAAATCTTATTTTAGTAGTTGTTAAATATTTAGTAGTTGGTAAATATTATTTCTGTAGTGACCTTTATGAAAACAGTTGATTCTATATATTACATGGAAGAGATTTAACATGTAAGTTAGTCTTGCTTTTAATTTCAGTATAAATGAATGCTATTTGTAATTTAAAGATTCTTTTTTTTAATGATTCTTAAGATGAACACATTAAATCAAAAGCTTGTCTCAGTGATTTTTTTTTTTAAATATAAGCTGTCTTTGTCACCTTGTTTAATAGTTTTGGGGGGAAATTTTCAACTTCCATTTGTTCAAATAGTTATATATTTCTTTTTTTTTTTTTTTTTTTTTTGGGTCCGGTCGTGGGGCCTGAACTCTGGGCCTGGGCGCTGTCCCTCAGCTCTTCAGCTCAAGGCTAGCACTCTACCGCTTGAGCCACAGCGCCACTTCCGGCTTTTTTCTTTTTGCTTATGTGGTGCTGAGGAATCGAACCCAGGGCCTCGAGCATGCAAGGCAAGCGCTCTACCACCTTCCCAGCCCTCAAATAGTTATATATTTCTAAATGTTAATAATAATGAAATTTTTTTTGATGATGGATTCATTTGAGGCTATTTAAAATTTCAACAAAATAACTAAAAAGAGCAATAGTAGATGCCAAAGACTGGTTGATTCACATTTCTACTGAATATTGTTTTACTTATGAAGCCACAGAATAAAGTACATATAAACTTTGGAATTTATAGTTCATTGTAAAACATGAACTGATATCTTCTTGTAGCTCAGACATGTTACTGGGCCTTCAGTGCAGAGTGACACTTTTTTTTTAATCTATAAAAATGTTTTCACTAGTATCTGATAAATCTTTTATCTATATAACCATTAGGCCATTTTTTTTAATAAATAGAAGAAAATTTAGAGTATTTTATTGTGAGATATGTTTTTAATCTAGGATTTCTAAGTCCTGTATTTTTAATATCTATATCAATTAAAATTGATTAAAAGAGCCTTTATTTGTGGACAGAATTCTTTTGGAAAGACAGGAGAAGGTAAGTTGTTTATAAGCTCAAGCTTGGATCTCCTCTAAGCAGAACTACTCTTTTGAAAAAGGTACTTAACTTCCCTTTAGGGGTGACTATGTATTTGAAATATAGCACTTAACCATTTTAATTTCTTTTTATTTATAGGTGTTTCAAAATTCTTTTTTTTTTTTTTAATTTGTGAACATACTGTACAGAGGGGTTACAATTACATGGCAGGATAATGTGTACATTTCTTACCAAGCATTGCAGCCTCCTCCTTTGTTTACCCTTCACATCCCTTCCCAGCTTCCTTCCCCCCCCCCCCCTGCTCCCAATCCTTCCCCCCCCCCCCCCCCCCCCCCCACCCGCACCAACGTTGTAAAGCTCGTTTTGGACATGACAACTTGTACTTCTCATTGTTGCAACAGGTCCACCTGTATCCTTAAATGACTTGTTTTTCCCCATCAAAATTCTTGTGTAGTCATTATGTGTCATTAGTGTCCAGGGACCCAGGTTATTATGTAGACATTAGAAATCTGATTTTTAGAAGTCCAATAAAATTGATTTCTTGTTATATATGACACTTTATGGTGACTCTTATTTACCATTATATCATAATGTTGGTGCTTGATATAACTGCACAGTGCTACTTACATATTTACCATTAATTTACTATAGATTGATGAAGAAAATATACCAAGTACATAAGTATTCAAAGCACCTTAGTAGAAATTTTGTGATTTTATATACTAGGAACCATTGGTCTAGTAGTGGTTTATAAGTTTGGCCAGTGTATGTATTAAGATGCAAATTCTCAAGTTCCTACCTAGGTAATCTTACTCATTAGGTCTGTGGTTGGGATAGGTAAAAGTATTTTGTTCAAGCCTCCTTGAAATTTTGATACAGATGTTTAGGACCAGATTCCTTCCTTAAGGCTTTGGTACCAATATTCTAAGTCATGATTTTGGAAAATGAGGGTTCTTCTATATTGTTGTGTGGGGTTATCACTCTGAATCTAAGGATGTAGAAGGCTAGCGTAGGAAGACTCAGAACAAGGCAAATTAGTTTCTGGCTTGTAATTACTTTGTAATTTTATTCAGAGCCTGACAAAATAATTACTGACATGTAATTTCAATGACTTTTTTTTTTTTAAAGAAAGATGCTATGAGACTAACTTCTTTGACAATGAAGTATGTTCTGTATTGTTGTGTGGGGTTATCACTCTTGAGTCTCCCATGGTGCAGTGAATTTTTTTTGCTGATTTCCTGAATTAAGTTACACAGTTGCTATCTTTTAAGATACTTAAGAACAATTCTTAAGGGATTGGGAAGTTGGCTCAGTGGTAGAGTGCTTGTTCCTCATGCCTGAGGTCCTGAGTTTGATTCCTCAGCACCACATAAGCAGAAAAAAGCTGGAAGTGGTGCTGTGTCTCAAGTGGTAGGGCACTAGTCTTGAGCTGAAGAGATGAGGGGACAATGCCTAGGCCTAGAGTTCAGCCCTCAAAACCGACAAAAACAATAATACTGAAAATGCTTTTCATTTTATTTTCAGTTTTGGGTTTGAAAAGTGGAACTTAACATTAGAAAAGTATTTGTTCCAAAATCAGTTGGCAGATTGTTTTTGATAACTCAAAAATCAGAGCTTTCAATTCAATATTAGCATTTTGTTGTTTTTGATAACTCAAAAATCAGAGCCTACAATTCAATATTAGCATTTCAACAAAAGGTTAAGAAAATTTTCTGTGTGTGTGCCCGCGCGCATGCCAGTATTGGGGATTGAACTCTGGGCCTGGGTGTATTGCCCCTTAGTTTTTTTGCTTAAGGCTGGTGCTCTACGGCTTGAAGACAGCTCTACCTCTGGCTTTTTGGAGGTTCACTGGAGATAAGACTTTCCTGTTAAGGCTGGCTTCAAACTTTGTCCTTTGAACTCAGCCTCGGGAGTACCTAGGATTAAAGGTGTGAGCCACTGGCACCCAACTGTTGATTAAGTAAAATGTGCATAACCAAAATTCCATGATGTTGGTGCATGTAGAGTTTGTCTTAAAAATAAATAATTTATCTATTTAAACATGTTTTTTTTTAAAAACTTGTCATATGAATAATTAAGCATCTTAAGGTTATTAGTTATTCCAGGACTTCCCTTCTCTAGAGTGTTGGACTCACACAATTAGCATGTTGAAGTGCAGAGTCTCAGGATGCACTTCACATACATGGAACCAGAATCCATATTTTAATTCCATACTGATTAGAATGCACAGTAAATTTGACAAGAATTGTTTTAGGGGTTGCTGCTTTACCTTGAGCCTCTTATTTCTTCTGAAGTTACAAGTCATTCTTAGGAATTCAGTTTTATTTGGATTCCTCCTCTTCACCCTAAAGCCCTGTAAAACCCTGTAAAGAATTCATGAAAATAGCCAAATATAAATTGAATTCCTTTGAATGGCTGTGGACCAAGGTCTAATCATGGGAATGACTAGAATCTTGAAGAATTAATCTCAAGTAGTATAATTTTGGTTGCTAAGAATCAAAGGTTAATGAGATCCTATAAAAACAGTAGGCAGTTTTCAGTTGGTTTACTTACCATGTAGTTAGTTTCAGAACTGGGAACTATGGTCATTACTGGGAATTAAGATATGTCACCTCTTCATTAAATACTCTGGATTTATCCCACCTAGTCTTTTGACTCTGTTCCTTCTCCTCCTCTGGGTTCTTCTCTAGATATCCATACATAGCCTACTTCACATTTTTTTTTTGCACCTAGTAATTATAAGAATCACTATCTTTGCTGGTACCCATTCCCCCATTTTTTCTATAGGTTATTTTTAATATACTGTGTATATTTGCATATGTGTGTGTAGAGCTGGGGATTGGTTCCTGGGTATTACAGGTGCTAGACAAGTGCTCTACCACTTGAGTTGTGGTTCCCAACCACCTATTTTGTTTACATTTCTTACTATACTATTGCTTCCTCTCCCCCAATGAGCATATAAAGTAAGGTTTTTTTTCTTTGATATAACATAGATTGCTGAGAAATGAATAATGAAGTATAATGAATATTATTTATTGCTATTGGAAATAAACAATAGATACCTATTTAATGGATGAATGACCATTGAAATATCTTTTTCCTGTGCATTTTTGGAGAAAGTCTGCCAAATTTGACTTTGCTTATTAGTAAGCAGGGTTTAAAATTCATTCAGTCCAATGTGTTTCAAGTTGTAAACAGCTAATATTTTATGAACTAGCTCAACCTTTGAATTTTGTTAACTATTTAGTAAATCTAGCACTGATTTCAGGACTATGCCTTAGTACTTAAATTTGGAATCTCAGTAGTGCTCTAAAAGAATGTTACTTTCATTTTCACTTTGATTTGTTACTGCATATTACTTTTGCTTTAAGTATCATTTTTATTTTATTTTATTTTTTGTTCCATCTTATTTTTGCAGACAGGCTCAAGGAGAGAGCATCCTCAGATAAGAATGTAGACCCACTTTCTGCTCCACTTAACCATCCTCCAGAAGATCCTTTTGGTTCTGTTCCTTTCATTGCTCACTCAGGCAAGTTACAAATGTAACATCCCTACCATTAAAAAGTTCAAGAACTACACAACAAAACCTTATTATTGGAAAGCAGGAGTAAGAATCAGGTGTTACAGAAAGCGTAGTAGAAAATTACTTTAACCTGTTGCCAACCTGGTGTTCCAAATGTTCCACTTTTTGGGTTAATTGTGCCTTTGACAAAGTAAAAAATGCTGATTTACATGATAGAAATAATTACTCTTATTTTTTACTTTTATTATGGGATACCTTAAAACTGCATGCATATAAATAATCTTATTCCTTTATGTATTTAATGCACCTTTAAAGATACTTTAATCCTTAGCTTTTGCTTAAAAATCTAAGTTCTCTTGTAGTTGTTTTGCTACTCTTCTTAGTAGCCTTTGGATTTTAACTCAGAATTTAAATATTGATATTACCTACTATTTAAAAATAGTTTTTTAATTGGCTCAAGTAGTAGAACACTTTCCTAGCAAGCCTGAAGCCCTGAATTCAAACCCTAATATCATCAATAAATAAATGTATGTGTGTGTGTGTATATATATATATCTAAGTAATAATTCCAAAGTAATTGTCCCATTAACACTTGAAAGATTCTTTGGCATAAATTGAATGTATGTGTCTGTATGATCATAGGACAAACAAGTCTTAATCTTTATATTGTGAAATATATTAGAAAATGCTTTGTTAGAAGCAAGTTTTGAGATTTGTTTTTATTTTGAATTGTCAAGATTTTGGTTTTTGGTTTTCTTTGGTTCAGTTCTATTTATTTCTTTAAAGCAAGTTCCATAGTACTCACTGTTATTTAAAAAATACATTCACGAGTAACAATAAAAGAAAAACTTAGAATGTATGGCCAAAATATGAAGTGTGTGTTTAGAATTTCAGATGGAAATTGGATTGGGGTTCTGCCAGTTTTTTTTTTAACCAGTTAGACTTGGTTATCTGGAGCAGTTAGTACATTAATCAAAATTGATTCTAATTGTTGTAACAGTCCATGGGTTAATCTTTGATGTTGCTGAAAACAGTCTTTATTCTTGCTATTCTGTTTTCTGCCTTCATTTGTCTTTTTCATGCATACATTCTTAACTGGGAATGATGAGTAACAGTGTATTTATTTAATCTGTATAAATGTCCATTTCACTCCTAATATCCTGTCAAAAGGGTGTTCTTTTTCTTTAACTCTAATACCTTAAAGTATCTTTTACACTTTGCAAGAATATAACTCAATGATGAAGGTTTGCAGAGAGCAATTTCAGGACTCCCTCTATTGTGTACTATGTAAGGAGTTGCATTAGTTTTTCAGGTTTGCATGTATCTATGAAGCTACTCCTCTGTTCTTCAGTGACTTATGACAGTTCTCTGGAAAAATGTAACAGTAGAATCAGGAACTGGAGTGAACTCAAATGATATTTTATCTGGACACTTTTATTTTTAGGTTTACTTCGGGATTTTGTAATTAATTAGCAATATGCTAGCAAATTTGAGCTTGATTGCTGTTATTATTTTGTTTAACTTTGTTTATATAGTTGTCTGGAAGATTTAAAGATTTTTTTTTGGGGGGGGGGTCCGGTTGTGGAGCCTGAACTCTGAGCCTGGGCGCTGTCCCTAATTTCTTCAGCTCAAGGCTAACGCTCTACCACTCGAGCCACAGCGCCACTTCTGGCTTTTTTTCTTTCTTTTTGCTCATGTGGTGCTGAGGAATCGAACCCAGGGCCTCATGCATGCAAGGCAAGCGCTCTACCACTGAGCCACCTTCCCAGACCGATTTAAAGATTTTTGAAAGTTGGAAATATGATTTGCTTGTGTTTGATCCAGCCCAGTAGTCAAACCCAGTGACTTAATAGTCATGGAATATATGAAAACCTAACTATCCATAAAAAAGTACCCTATATACTTCTTATGCAGTGATCCTGACAAATACTATTTAATATAAATGCACTCTCTGCAAACTTTTTATAGTGTGAACATGCACACTGCTTTATAGTCAAACAGATAAGATGGTCTGATTATTAAAAAGTAAGTACAGGAAATGGCGCTGTGGCTCAAGTGGTAGAGGGCTAGCCTTGGGCTGAAGAGCTGAGGGACAGTGCCCAGGCCCTGAGTTCAAGCCCCATGACCAAAAAAAAAAAAAAAGTTCAAGCTAAAAAGTAAGTACACAGACTAAAATGAAGGAATGAATGGTCATAGGAGAAATATATCTTAGAGAGGGAAGAAAAAGTGATCACTGTATTAATATTGTTAAATTGCTCCTATCATAGCCAAAATGTAATGAAATAAAATTGTAAAATTATATTGGCCTATATATTATAGAGCTTAGAAGTATTTTGTTATAAAATTTTAGGTAAAAATAGGGCATTAGGGATATTCATAAGCTTTAGGGTAAAGTTGAGGAAAACACATTTTACCCAGTGAAAATATACTCCAACATAACTTACATTATGTGAAGTAAGCCAAATTCAGAAACACAGACAACACGTGTTTTCTCTCATATATGGATGTTAAATCTAAAATATACTGGGATATGATAAATTATACAGGACTTTAGGCATTCACACATAGTGAGACTAAAGGAAGATATTCTTAGGAGAGGAACACAAAGGCACAATGCCTACATACTTCTGATCATATAAAATAATATTTATTGAAATGAATTCCCAAGAAATGGAAACAGGAAGGTTTCTTTTTAAAAAACAAAAGGAAAGTAAAAGAAAATATATTCCACCTAGCACTATTAGACTATTTCCTGGAGATTTCTATGACTGGGACAGAAAAAATGTTTAAGAAAAACTCCTAAGAATGTGTGTAAATATCATACAGACTTAAGTATATGGGATAAACCATCTTAGTTGAATTTGGATTTTGAAGTTACTAAACAATTTCATTTTAGTTAAACCATGTAGAAATGCTTGAATAAAATAATTTAATTATATATCAACATACTATAAGAATTTAGCAAATTTTAAGTGTAATGCTAATGGGCATTTAAGAACCATTGTCTGGAATCTAGTGTTTCTTATACTGATTTTATTTAGAAATTATACTAAGTTAACTCTTCATCTTTGTGTGTGTGTGTGTGTGTGTGTGTGTGTGTGTGTACACACCCCATTTCTGAGCTTTAATTCCTGGCTGGGGGTGTTGTCCCTTAGCTTTTTCTCTCAAGGCTAGTGCTTTACCACTTGAGCTACAACTCCACTTCTGGCTTTTTGGTAGTGAGTTAGAGTTATGAGTCTCATGTACTTTTTTGCCCAGGCTGGTTCTAATTGTGATTCTGAGATCTCAGCCTCCTGAGTAGCTAGGATTACAGGTGTGAGCTACTGGTGCCCAGCTAAGAACTTTAAAGCTTAACCTTAACACTGTATTTTAATTTTGTCTTCAGTTATCATTTCATAAAATAATTTTAAGTTAAAATTTTACTGAAATAATTCTAAAAGTGAAATTTAGCAAGGTTAATAATGAAATTTTAAAAATCTCCATGACTTATTAGTTTCCTTTCCTTAAAAACTTGTAGAGAGCCAAGAGCTGGTGGCTCATGCCTGTAATCCTAGCTACTTAGGAGGCTGAGATCTGAGGAACATGATTCAAAGCCAGCCTGGGCAGGAAAATCCATGAGACTACCTCCAATAAACCACCAGAAAACCAGAAGTGATGCTGTGGCTCAAGTGGTAGAGTGCTAGCCTTGAGCTGAAGACCTGAGGGACAGTGCTCAGGCCCAGAGTTCAAGCCCCATGACCAACAAACAAAACAAAACAAAACAAAACAAAAAAAAAACCCAAAACTTGTAGAGGTAATTTTTCTTTTCTGGCATTTTAATATGTAATTCTTATTCTTTTTTTTAAAACCTCATCTCACCCCAGTTTTAGACATGTGCAGACTTCCTAGTATCAGACATGAGAATATGGGTTAATTGGACTGTTTTCCTATATCATACATGCAATCAACCATATATATATAATAATATGACATATAATGGAATTTTGTTTGATGAGGGACTACATATACACCACAGTCCTGGAGATTATATTTTATTAGTGCTAGACATGGAGCTTAGTTGTAGAGCATGTGTATAAAGCACTGGACTTGATTCCTACCACTTACAAAAAGCCTGTATTTCCTGCTGATTCTGTCTTAATTTTTATTAGTGTACCCTCTAATGTTTACATGAAGTAGACTGCTGATGCATTTCTCAGAGCATATCCTGGTCACTAAATGCATAGGGCTGTCTTTCCTGTCCTTCAGCACAATGTATACACACTGTTTGGTTACCTTTGTAGCCAGTGTACGTGTGTGCGTGTGCACACGTGTTTGTCTATGCATGCATGCACATGTGTACCAGTCCTTGGGCTTGAACTCAAGGTTTGGGTGCTGTCTCTGAGTCTTTGTGGTCAAGACTAGTATGTTACCACTTGAACCATATCTCCATTTCTGGCCTTTTTTGGTAGTTAATTGTAGATAAGAGTATCATGGACTTTCCTGACTGAGCTTGGTTCAGCTTGTGATCCTCAGATCTCAGCCTCCTGAGAAGCTAGGATTACAAGCATGAGCCACTGACACTTGGCAACATTTTCAAATGCATAACTATTTCTAACTCCTCAGGTTTTGTATATCATGTTCACATTTCCTTCCTTCTATAATTCCTGGAGTAGTAGAGTACTATATTTGTAATTACAAAATTTTTGTTTTCTTGGATTTTTTATGTTCCTTCATTGATTCATCTATATTTGGAAGTGTAAATTTCCTTCCAGATTAGAGTAGCCATTATTTTCATGAAACTGCAATTTGACTTAACTGTTTTTTAGGTCTGGCATATTCCTCTAATTGTAGTATCTTATTTACCCTTTAGTATTTCAGAAATTCTTGTACTGTCCTTCTTCATCTGTCCTTCCTTCATGGTTTGTTAGATCAACATGGTCTGACAACATGGAAGATAAGTTTTAAATTCTGCTACTTAAAATTAAGTATATTTTTGCCCCACAATGACACATATAATTCATCTGAGA